ATTTTTTTTTACGTGTAGGGATACTTGCTTGCATATATTTCTGTGCACCATGTATGTGCTTGGTGTTCACAATGGTCAGAAGAAGGCAATGAATCCTCTGAAACTGGAGTTGCAGACAGTTGGAAGCCACCATGTCAGTGCTGAGAATGGAACCAAGGTCCACTGGAAGAGCAACTGCTCTTAACCATTCAGCCATCTCTCCAGCATCCTAGTCAATTTCTACTAAATGTCCTAAGCATCCAATGTGAGGATGTTTTACTATCTATCACCTATCAATTTATCTGTTACTATTAATTTTTTTACTTTGGCTTGCTATATACCTAACTTACTCATTCACAACCCAACATATGGCAATTGTATATTATTCTCCAGACTGTACAGATTATCCTTAACCACAGGGTGTCCTAGATTGGTGGTTCTCAACCTGTGGGTCTTGACCCCTTTAGGGACGGAGTCTAACAATCCTTTCATAGAGGTTTCATATCAGACATCCTGTATATCGTATGTTTACATTACAATTCATATCTCAAGGTCTTAATCATGCTAGGCAAGTGCTGTTGCTGTGTGTGTGTGTGTGTGTGTGTGTGTGTGTGTGTGTGTTTCTTGAGACAGGGTTTTTCTGTGTAACCCTGGCTGTCCTGGAACTCACTTTGTAGACCAGACCGACCTCAAACTCACAGAGATTCATCTGCCTCTGCCTCCTGAATGCTAGGATTAAAGGTATGTGCCACCACCATTTGGCTGTGAGCGCACTTTTAAAGGCTTTTAGGAATATGTTTCATGATAGTAGTAATTCACTTTTGACCTGATCTGAATGGTATTTGATAAACAATAATTAAGCTATGGCATAGATGATATTTAAAATACTTTGCCATTCTCTGGAAACAAAATGTCTTAAGATTTTACAAACAGCCTAAGTTTCTTCATCTTTTCACTAAGTAGTTAGCAGCATGATGCCTAGATGAATCATAATTGGGCCAAGAAACTATCTTTTTCACCTCAGCAATACAGCAGGATGACTGACACAGCAGAATATTGAAGCCATTCATTTCAGAGCAACAATGAATGAAGTTGCCACTGCCTGGTTCAGAGACAGACACTGACAGGAATACAAAGTAACAGAGTGACAAAAGAATAGACTTCAAATCCACAATACTGGAAAGGACGGATACTTACTTTTCTTTGCCTCTTCCACCCCCAACCATCTTAAAGCAAGTGAAAACTAGGTATGCTTAAATAAATATATGAAAAGCTCAAATCATAACTACCTTTCCTAGTGCTAGGATAGTATGTGTCAAATCTGTATTAAAACAGTCTCTGACACATATTTACCTATTTAATCATTAAATTTGTAAATCTTTTTTGTGTGTCTTTTTAGATAGTATCTCACTATGTAGCCTTGACTTGCCCACAACTCACTAGAAAAGCCAGATTGGCCTTGAATCTGTGGTATTGCCTCCCTCCTGAGTAGAATGACAAGTATATGAATGAAATCTAGGATTTAAAATGCTACAACTAGGCTAAAGACTGACAAGTATTTACATTAACTCACAAAAAGTAGGGCCTGTGAGACTACTCAGCAGAAAAGGGTACTTGCCTCAAAACCTAACTCTCCAAGTTCAGTCCCCAGAACCCACATGGTAGAAGGGGAGAACAAACTCCCACGAGTTGTGCACAGGTTTACATACATACAATAAATGTAAGAAATAAAATTTAAAAGTAAGGTTTAGGCTGGGTGTGGCACACATCTTTAATCCCAGCACCCACTAGGCAGAGGCAGGTGGGTCTCTGAGTTTGAGGCCAGCCTGTTCTACAAAACAAGTTCCAGGAAAGCCAGGGTCACACAGAGAAACCCTGTCTTGAAAGACAAACCAAAAAAAAAAAAAAAAAAAAAAAGAAGAGGAGGAGTAGGAGGAGGAGGAAGAAAGGAAGGAAAGGAAAGGGAAGGAAGGAAGGAAAGAAGGAAGGGTGAGTAAAGGATTTCCCCATCAAATACCAGCCATTAAAATAACTGAAATCCTACATTTCAATTGAGTATAACTATACTTGTGCTATACTTGGAGACCGAACATAGGGCCTCATGTATGTCAGGCAAGTGCCCTACCACTAAGCTACATACCCTAGCCTTTTAAAATTTTGATTTGCTACCCTCCTGCTTCAGACTCCTGGATTATAGATGTGTGCCATCAGCAGGGTTGGTACCACCCTTTTAGAAAAAAAAGTGTCTCCCTCAAAAACTAAAGTTTTCTCTTATATCAACTTTCTCCCCATGATCAGAAAAGTCATATATTGTTGCACCACTTCTCTTGTTTGCTTTTATTTTATTACTAAATGACATACTTTTCTAATAAATTTTAAACATCTACATATTTCTAAATAATACTGTTAAAGTTGAAAATAAATGTCCTAAGAGTGACACTGAATCTAAAATATGTATGGCATTTCTATTTAGATAGTTTGTGCATTAAAGCTATATAACTGATTCTTATATTCAGCACTAATTCCAAAACAAGAACCTGTCTTTTTGAAAAACTGATTTTAAAAAAGTATCAGACTAGCCGGGCGTTGGTGGTGCACGCCTTTAATGCCAGCACTCGGGAGGCAGAGGCAGGCGGATCTCTGTGAGTTCGAGACCAGCCTGGACTACCAAGCGAGTTCCAGGACAGCCTCCAAAACCACAGAGAAACCCTGTCTCGAAAAATCAAAAACAAAAACAAAAACAAAAACAAAAAAGTATCAGACTTTTATAATTACAATTAAGGAGTCACTGGCTCACTTCCCCTAATTTTGTTTCAAATGTATCAGCACCAATCATACCTTAAATAATGCTTTCTTTTACTGTTAGAGAACTTGATGCAAAATACAGATTAAGATATCATTGTAGCCAGGTGGTGGTGGTGATGGCGGCAGCGCACGCCTTTAATCCCAGCACTCAGGAGGCAGAGACAGGTGGATCTCTGTGAGTTAGAGACCAGCCTGGTTTACAAGAGCTAGTTCCAGGACAGACTCCAAAGCAACTGAGAAACCCTGTCTCAAAAAACCAACAACAACAACAAAAGATCCCATTATAAATAAAACCTAAAAAGCAAATTTGAAAGCCAAAAGTCAAGCTGAGCTTACTTCCAAATTCCGACTAAAGGTTTCTCAAAATAAATAAATTTTTTAAAAAGGAAAAGAATAAAAACTACAGCTACATGGGTTAAATAGTCCGGCATTGGAGTCGTGTGCTCCCTCCACCCACCCACCCCTTTTTTGAGGCCTGGCTCACTGTGTCCAGACTGGCTTAGAAGTCTCTATATAGACTGGGTTGGCACTGAACTCACAGCAATGCTCCTGCCTTAATTCTTCCAAGTCCTAGAATTACAGACATGAGTCACCACACTAGGTTTCTCAAAGAACACTATAACCATAGTAAAAATCTGCAGACCTGGAGCTGGTGTGTTTACAAGCAGAGGACCCAAGTTCTGTTCTCAGCACCCAGTTGGACCGCTCAAACCACCTGCAACTGTAGCTCTAGGGCTTCTGACTCCCTCTGTCTTGGTTCCTACCCCAAGTTAGAAAAAAAAATGTGTGCACTTTCCTCCTTTGGAATGTATCACAGTGACCGATAGAGGTTTCTCCAAATATAATGTGGCTTAGAATAAGGTACTGCAAATAGCAATGGCAAAACATTGACTAATGAACTTTTAAACCAATTCAAGTCCTCTGTAGTCCTCTTTAATTTTAGTGCCTATAACTGAGTCACATAACTTGCTGTGAGATCAGGAATCCCTACTGTACTGTCCTCATGTCAGCCAGCAAAAGCGCTGTTTTTGTTATTTTGCTTTCTTTTACCCGAAGAAAGTAAAACCTAACAATTCCTAGGGAGACTTGGGTAGGCGTGTGTATATTTTGCTGTCTTATATGCCGCTCTTGTTCATAAAATACCACATAACTATGGCATGGCTAACAAAAAGCAAAAATTTAAGACTTTTAGGGTAACAACTGCCTCAACTAAAGGTGCCTCCCTAGTTAAGAACCGCTCACCAAGTACTCGCGGATTAGTTTGAAGTTGGAGTAAATTTTTGTAGAAATATCTCGACTACTAGAAGTTGGCCCAACGAAAGACACAAGTATGGCAAAAGGTAAAAACAAAAGAAAAACTTTAACTGAAAAAGAAACCGCTATATTAAACTGTCTTGTCTTTTCCTCCCTTGTGCTGGAGACTGAGCCCAAGTCTTTAATAGATTCAGGTGCTAGAACTCTACTACTGAGCTACACAAGCAACCCAGCCTTCTCTCTTAATGCCCATGCACAGTAGCAGCGAAGGCAAGTGAGAAAAAAAAAATCCAGAAAGCTGACCTTGCCCATAAATCGCCTACTTCTGCACTCCTCCTCCCCCTAGTGTCCCCGCGAGCCGGTTCCTGCAGTCCCAAGTGCTCAGTCGGCCTGTTCCAACATCTGCCTGGCAGTGAGTGACTGACAGGCGACCAGAGGGTCCGACAGGAGGTGGCCCGAGAAACGCTGAGGCCCAGGAGGAAAGGACTCGAGGAGGCGAAGGCGAGAACCTTCGCAGCGAAAGGGTCGGGCGTTAGGGACTAAAGGAGACGAGGCCTGCGAGGAGCACTGAGGGGACAGGGCCGAACCCTGGGAAGGGATGAGCTGAGGAGCTGACAGGCTTAGAGGGGGCACCCGAGCTGCGAGGCCGGGCAGGGCGCGGACTCACGTTCCCCCACGAGCAGGATCCGCACGTCTTTCTTCATGTCGGAGGCTCGCAGGGGCCGCACTCGGCCCGCACGCATGGAGCGCACGCCTCACGCCGGGAGCGCCCAGCCCGTGGCGCCGCTCTCCCCGCGCTACCGCCGTCTCCTGCCAGCCTCTCAGGCCTCTGCGCCCGAGCCTCGGCCGCCCCGACTCGCCGTACCGCCTCCTAGGCTGCCGCTCCGCTCTGGAGCCGGGACAAGCCAGCTCCGCCTCCTCAGGCTCCGCGGACGCGGGCGGCGGCGAGGACGACGGCGTGCGGCGAGGGACACGCGCTTTCGGAACGCGAACGCTCGCGTGACAGAAACAGCGCCCTCGCGTGCAGGTTGACGGTAGCGCAAAACCGGGGAAGTTTGTCGTCGCACTCCGGACACTGCCAAAGATGTAAGTGGCAGATTCCATAATCAAACTCCACTTGTTTTTGTTTTTTAAGTTAGTTTATGTTTGTTTATTTGTTTGTTTATTTATTTATTGTATACAAGTTCTCTTCACCTTTATGCCAGAAGAGGGCATCAGATCCCACTATAGATGGTTGTGAGCCAGCATGTGGTTGGTGGGAATTGAACCCAGGACTTCTGGAAGAGCTGCCAGGGCTCCTAACCTCTGAGCCATCTCCCAGGGAATGGGTCCCACTTGTTTTACAGATAAGGAACAGAGGAAGTTTCTTGTCCAAGGTCATACAACAGGAGTTTGGTCATGGCTCAGAGTGGGCAATCTTCTTACTAAACAATAAGGTCCAGGAGGGCAAGTGACCTACCTATCTGGTTTTCAGAATGATTTATTGAACAAGGCGACTGACTCCAGGGGTGAGTATACTCCCCAGAGCCCATCACCCTGTTTATTTGTTAGTTTGTTTTTCAAAATGTATTATTTTGTATAGTTGAGTATGGCATGTGTGTTTGAGTGCCTTCCATGGTGAGTGTGGAGGTCAGAGGGCAGCTCTCATGAGTTCGTTCTTGACCAGTGTGACTGAACACGCAGTTAGTTCCAGCACTCGGGACAGATGCAGGTGGATCTCTGTGTGTTCCAGGCCTGCCTGGTCTACATAGTGAGTTCCAGGACAGTCAGGGCTATGAGGAGAGACCCTGTCTCAAACTTCCACTTAAAAAAAAAAAAGGGGTATAATGGTTTCCAGCATGTGGGAGGCTGAAGCAGAAGGATTGCCATGAGTCTGGGGCCAGCCTGGGCTACAGGATGAGACCTAAACAAGCATGGTGCTATGCACCTGAAAAAGGGGAGGCAGGAGGGTTGAGCTGTCAAAGCTATCCTCATCTGCACAGGGAAATTTCATGCCAGTCAGGCTACAGGAGACTTTGTCTCAAAACAGCACACACACCAAAAATTATACATATATGAAACTACTTTAAATGTATTCAAATGTGGATATGATATCTATAAGTCATGTGGTGTGCATCAGCTCAGAGATGCTGAGCAATTTCCTGGGATTCAATCCAGATTCCATCGCCCAATAATTATGTGATCCTGAATAAGTTCATTTACTTCCTTGAGCCTATTCCTTCTTATGTGGCATGGTGGTGATAGTGATACCTTTCTCCTAGGTGGCTGTGAAGAAAAAAATACTGTTTTGGCATGTCCAGCATTTGTGACGAGAGTAGGATGTGCTCTCTCCTGATCTCAGGCAGTATGGGGATCATAAAAACCCACAAATAGTTCTTCACAAGCATGAAGGCAAATGCCTTATGCTCACTACTGTAATTCACCCCCTTATTTGTCTGATATAGATATGGATATAGAGAGAAGGAAATCCTTTCTAAAAACTGTCTGGGAAGGCAGGTGTGGTGGTATACACCACACCATCCTGGCACTCAATGAACTGAAGTGGGATCATGAGTTGGAAGCCGACTTGGGCTACTCAGTGAGACGCTGTCTCAAGCAAACAACAAAAACCCACTCTGTGATATGATGAAGAGGTGACAAGGGGAGGACACACCTCTTACTCACAGGGAGATGTCCCTAGGAGGGTGGCTGCAAATAAGACCACAGGACTCTTAAGACTTGTGTCACCCTCTATGCCTGTTTCCTCTCTACCGCATGAAGACTTCCGACCCTTGCTTTGCAGAATTGTCTAGAGCAGCCTCGTGAAGTAATCTACAGATGCCCTTTTATTTCCTGATGGAATCACATCAGATAAACGCTCTGTAAACTGAAATACATCTAATATAGCTAACCTACCAAGTGCTATATTTTAGTAACAGTTGTATATCTTTCCAGTCACTGAGCTGAGAGACTTGCTGCTGCAGGCTTGAATATTACTAGCCCCAAAAGATGCCAAAAATTCAAAATCTTGAAATACAGTTCTACTAACCATGTTAGCACTTGGGTACCATGATGCACTTGATCTTAGCTGAAACTAACAATTGACATTATTATAGTTTTTTTAATATAGCTGGAAGTGGTGGTAGATGACTTTAATCCCAGTACTCAGGAGATTTCTATGCGTTTGACATCATTCTAGTCTACACAGTGAGTTCTATGACAGCCAGGGCTATATAAAGAGACCCAGTCTCAAAACAAAGCAAGGAAGGAAGGAAGGGAGGGAGGGAGGGAGGGAGGGAGGGAGAGAGGGAGGGAGGGAGGGAGGGAGGGAGGAAAACTTAAGTCAAATCATTAAGTTGGAGACTGTGTGCTGCCAACCACACCCACAGGGTTTCTCTGTATAGCTCTGACCTCCTAGAACTTGCTCTGTAGACCAGGTTGGCCTTGAACTCAGAGATTCACCTACTTCTGCCTCCCAAGTACTGGTAGTAAAGGTATACGTTACCACTACCTGGCACACCCAAAACTTTTCTTTAAAAAAAATTACAGGGGCTGGAGAGATGGCTCAGAGGTTAAGAGCCGTGGCTTCCCTTCATAGAGGTCCTGAGTGCAATTCTGAGCAACCACATGGTGGCTCACAACCATCTATAATGAGATCTGCTGTCTTCTTCTGGCATGCAGGCAAACATGTAGACGGAACGCTATATATGGAACAAATAAAATAAATTTAAAAGTTACATTCATACCAGATCATTGATTGCAAAGGCCTCTTGAAGAAGGGCAAACACTTTAGGCAACTGCCATTTCAAGAAACATTTCATAGAGGGTAGTGCCCTCAGGAGTTCTCTGCACCACTGCAGTTGATAGCAAGCAATGTTAATTCTAATTCTGCAGGGCTCCTATAGGAGATGCTTGACAGTGTGAGCTGGCTAAAAAGCTTTTACATTTATTTATCAAGGGGAAAAGGTCTGCTAAGCAGGGATCTAGGGAGAAATGTTGGTTTGGAAGGACACTGCTAATGTTATTGCACTTTGTAAATAACACTTACCTTAAAATCCAAGCAGAGAGGCTGGAGAAATGGCTCAGGGTTAAGAGCACTGGCTATTTTTCCAGAGACCCAGGTTTGATTCCCAGAACCCATATGGTGGCTCACAGCTGCCTGTAATTCCAGTTTCAGATGATCTGGTGACCTCTTCTGGCCTCTGAAGCATTCAATATGCACATACAACACAGGCATACATACAGGCAAATAATCCACAGGCATAAAATAGATAAAACAATCCCAGATGAAGGTGGTATATCACATCACTGGGCACCATATGGTCTCAAGCAAAACAATGAAAAAAGACCTAGATCCATAGGAAGGAGCTGACACCAAGCAATTTCAGCTGGCAATATTTATGGATGAATACTAACCAAGGCCAGAACTTTGTTAAAGGAAAGAGAATCTGACACATGGGAGTTTCCCTCACCTGAGGTGTTTCTTTGCTCATTCCCTCTCTCTCTCCCTGTCCTTGAGCCAGTCTGGCCCCCATGGTTTGCATTGAGCCATATGTCCTTCTCATGATGGTAACAAATGTCCACCAGAGGTACTCAGACTGTCTCCTAAAGATAGCTTGGATCATGGTTAAATGCAGGGAATTTGGAGTCCCCCTGCTTGGTTCTGAACATCAACCCTGCCAATTACTTGCTGAGTATTATTAGCCAAATTATTTGGCCTCTCTCTTGCCACCCATGCCAAACAGAAACAATAGGACATATTAACATGAGATTGCTAAGAAAATTAATTAGCCTTTATGTGGTAGCATTTTGTTTATGATCTAATAAAGCTTGCCTGGAGGTCAGAGTGCAAAGCTAGCCACAGTCATAAAAGCCAGGCAGTGATGGTACACTCCTTTAATCCCAGCACTCAGGAGACAGAGGCAGATGGATCTCCATGAGTTCAAGGCCACCCTGAGTTACATGAGAGTGAATCAGTCTAAAAGAGAAACAGAGCTCACACCTTTGATCCCAGCACTTGGGATGATAAGCCTTTAATCCCAGCACTGGGGAGGTGGAGACAGGAGTGATATGACTAGAGTCTGGTTGGAGAGAGGAATATAAGGCAGGAGGAGACAGGAACTCATTGAAGTCTGGAGTTAGGTAGAGACAGATGCAGTCTAGGCAGAAGGCAATCTGAGGTTCAATGGATTGCCCCTCCGGTCTAAGCATTGGTAGAGGTGAGAACACTCTAGGGGGTGGCCACTTTGCTTCTCTGATCTTCAGCTTTTACCCCAATATCTGTCTCTGGGTTTTTATTATTTGTGCTATACCTATATAATGAGAAATCCCTAAGGATACTGCTTGGTACATGGTAAATGATATTTAAATACTGAATATAAAATAAATTCTGAGTGAAGTAACTTCTTTTTTTGTTTGGTTTTGGTTTTGTTTTTGAGACAGGGTCTATGTAATCCTGGCTGTCCTGGAACTCAATATATAGACTAGGCTAGCCTTGAACTCTGATTTCTGCCTGCCTCTTCCCTCACCTTCCAGGGTCAAATGCCACCACACTCTGTTGAGGGAAGTAACATCTGTCTACCTCTCAGAGTCTGAGGATCAAGCCCCATGATAATACACACCAAAACACAAGGCAGAAGTCATCTTTGACAGTGAACCCTACCATGGGCTATCACAGATTTATTAGTGTATCAAATAGAACGGGTGAAGCTGAGAGGACATGTTGGCAGCTAGAAGGCATTGATGGGACTTTATTCCAGTGTGCTAATGGGGAGCTTTCCTTTCACAAGGCAGCCTATGCCACTGCCCTGCAGAGACCAATGAGAAGTGAGAGCAAAGGGCTCTGCCTAGAGATAAGAGGATCTGTCTTTTGTGCCTATCAAAGGGAGAACTTGCAACACAGCCTCTTGAGTCCCAGGAGGGTGCAACATTCCAGGCTAGTAGACAGGCCTGCTGGGTAAAAGAGATGGTGTGCCAGGAAGATGACTGACATTGGGCAGGACAAAGGCTTCATCTGTGATTCTGAAGTTCCTCACTGGCCTGGGCAAGAGGCTAAATAAAACTTGGTTGGCTTCAGTCCCACCCTTCAGACCCATCTATCTTGGGCTCTCAAGCTAACCCCAAAGAAGTATCCATCATCTTACCTGGTCTTCACTTTCTAAGCTAACCCCAAAGAAGTATCCACCATCTATCTGCCTCGTCTTCACTTTCTTCCTCACCCCTTCTTAGTGCAGGGGATTGGCACAGGGCTTTGCACATGCTGTGTTCCACCACTGAGTTCTAGCCCTAACCTCCTTGGGCACACTTCCTATTTCAGAAGCAGAGCTTCACCACATTGCCCAGGCTGGGCCTGAACTCACTCTGTAACCTAAACAGGTGCATGCTCCTGCCTCAACCTCTCAAGTAGCCAGGATTGTAGTCTTGCTCCACCAGGAGCCTGTGGGGCTCCCCTTCCTCATTTCTGTCCTTTAAGAAGGCTTATTGCTTTTCCTACCATGCTGTTCTTATGGAGCAAAAAAGTGCAATGCCTTGGTGTCTGGTAAATGTTCTCTAAGCTTTCAGCAAAGTTGATCTTGATTCAGCGTTCAAATCTCCATGTCCTCTACATGGTCCCGAGAAGGAATGCTCCTAAAAGCAATCTGTGTTTGCAGAGACTGACTGGCTGATTAGAAGTTCAGTCAGTGGAGACATTGGAATGTTGCAGGTCCAGAGGCTACTTATCTTGGGCTAAGTTCCGACCTCCGGAACAGCCATTCCTTGCCCCCTCACCCCACCCCGTTAGAACTAACATCTTGTGACAATAGATTAAGGCTCTTAGAATCTATTGACTTACAGGCAAATAGCTTCTACCAATCCAAAAGCTAAGAATACCATCAAACAGCATCATGGCCCATAGACAAGCTTCTGCCATCTCTATATACCTGTGTCTCCTATGTACCCACCAATGTATTTAAAATTTGTCTTGATATATGACTTTCTCTTTCTGTAAAACTATAAAAACTTCACGAAACTGCTTCCACATTGGAACCTGGAGTGTCTGGGGTAACCTAAATCTGTGTCCCTGGGCTATGGTCACTCAAAAAGATTCTAGAATAAACTGTCTTATTCCCTCTAAGATGAGAACTATGGTTTCATGTACCAAGGGTCAGTCCCTAGTCTCTGCTTGGTTTGGCTTAAAGACATATCACTCGGCACAATCAATTACTAGTTTAAAGGGACTTGTTCAAAACTATGTTGGGAAAGACTTTTGTTTTCTAGACAGGATTTCTGTGTGTAGCCTTGACTATTCTAGAACTCACTCTGTAGACCAGGCTAGCCTTGAACTCACAGAGATCCACCTGCCTCTGCCTACCAAGTGTTGGGATTAAAGGCATGTGCCACCACTACTCTGTAAAAGAAACTTTTCAGACCTCACCTGTTGATTGAGAAACATCCGGTTTTCTTCTGAGTTTTCTCACGCTCCTTCAAGTACGGTGGCAGACAAGTGCTCTTGATTAAGAGATAGTTGATATTGAGAAACTATCTGATCACCTCCCCCACAAGTGGCCTGAATTCCCTTATGAGGCAGATAAAGGCACAGACCATGAATTCTGCATTTCTTCTCCAATACGTTGCCGGCTGTTCAGCACTAGGCCAGTAGCATAATGTCTCTGAAACGCATAAACCTCATCTATAAAACAAAGCTATCTCATGGGCTCTCTTAGAGAAGGAAACAATGCTAGCGAAGCATTCATTGCACTGCTTAACATGGAGTGTGGGTCCACATGTCACTACAATGCTTGACATGGAGTGTGACTTTTTAGAAAATTATTTATTCTTATTTTATGTACATTGGTGCTTTGCCTGCAGGTATGTCTGTATGAGGGCGTTGGATGCCCTGGAACAGGCATTACAGACAGTTGTGAGCTGTCATGTGGGTGCTAGGAATTGAACCCAGGTCCTCTAGAAGAGGTTTGTTTGGTTTGTTTTTTTGTTCTTTCGAGACAGGGTTTCTCTGTATTGTTTTGGAGGCTGTCCTGGAACTTGCTCTGTAGACCAGGCTAACCTCGAACTCACAGAGATCCACCTGCCTCTGCCTGCTGCAATTAAAGGTGTGTGCCACCATGCCTGTTTTCTAAGTATTTTTCATCCATGGTTAGCTTACTATTGAGATTTCAACAGATACAGATAATAAATATTGAAGAAGGCAGGCAGTGGTGGTGCATACCTTTGATCCCAGCACTCAGGAGACAGAGACAGGCAGATCTCTGTGAGTTCCAAGGCCAGCCTGATCTACAGAGTGTGATCCAAAACAGTCGGGGATATATAGAGAGATTCTGTCTCAAAAAACAAAAAACAAAACAAAACTCAAGCTGATTGCACTGGGTAACAGCCATCATTAAGCTCAGGTTGGCCATCAAGTTCTGGTTCTGGCAGCAGGAAAGGCTGAGGGTAGAGCCTAGGACTTTGTGTGTGCAGAGTAAAGGCTCTACCACTAAGTCACACCCCAGCTGTGTATTACTTTAGAGCACTAAATTTATGGAAATACTATTACACAACAACTTCTAAGTAACATATATCCCTTTCCTTGTGGGTCCTTATGGTTACTATCTGCTTCCAAGATCACTACAAGGACAAACTGACAGCTGTGATACTCATGATTTCAGTTTATTACATTGAAAAGCTAAACAATAAAAAGAACAATATTAAAGACACACAAGGTAAGGTCCAGGAAGGCTCCTTCTCACTAGTCATTGAACAGTGAGTGCTCCACCCTCCCAACAGTGGTACATGAGGCATATATATGTATGCTGTGGCATTGGGATTTTAACTAGGGGGTCAGTCATGTAAGTGTGACTCGCTGGCCACAGACTGATTGAACCAACAGTTCCAGGTGAGGCCTAAGTGAAAGACAATGGTCCAAAGTTCCTCTTATGAGGCAAACTATTCTGAAGCCTTCAAGGTCACCTTCAGGATACACTCCAGGCCAGCTCAAAAACCTCAAGCCCGTTTAGGTAATCTTGTCCCACACAAAAAAGAATAACTTCAAAAGTGGGTGGAGTCATACCATGTAGTCCAAGCTGGCCTCAACTTTGCTGACCAGGCTGGCCTCAAACTTGCAGTGATCCTCCTGCCTCCACTTCCCAAGTGCTATGGTTACAGACATGTACTACCATATCCAGTTTCCTTAAGTGGAATTCTCTAGTTGCCCCCAAACAGAGAGACTAGGAAGCCACTATTCTAACCCCGGGGGAAGCTTCATGAGTTTACCTGCTTTATTTCTAGGTAGTTTCCAGGACATAAGCCATACAGCCAGAAGGCAGGGTGCAGGGGGTAGGAGACAGAGACCTCACACTCATACAGAAGCCTCTCCTGGTCAGAGACCGAGTAGAAGGCAAGCTTCCCCAACTCAAGGTCCAGCCACACGCCCACGACCTCCGGGCGGCCTAAGTGAAGGTCAGTTTTCTTCTCCGTGGCCCAAGCAGAGAACTGGCCAGGCCCTTTCCACTCTATGCACCAAGAATCCTTAGTCCTTCCCAGCACCTGGTTCCGCTTCATGCCCCACGAAGCCACCCCAACAGCCCAGTGGTTACAGTTCCTAGTGTCCACTTCCCAGTACCTCCGGCCAGAGGAGAGAGCCTGGGAACATAAGACTTGGCTAATTAAAAATCTCTCGGGACTCCAACGATAGGGCTGTTGACAATGAGACACGGTCACTGTCCGGCAACTGTTAGAAACCTCCAGGTTACAGGAGAGGCTCCCCAAGTCAAATGTTGGACTGATGGCCCCTGGGGAGAAATAAACACCACAAGAATATGGACAGTCAGTTATTTTTTTTCCAATTATGTGTGTGGGTGTTTTGCCTGTGTGTATGTGCACCACACACATGCAGTGCCCACAAGGTCAAGAAGAGTGTGTTAGTTCCTCTGGGACTAGAGTTCCCGACCAGTATGAGACACCAAGAGGGTGCTGGGAATTAAACCTGGGGCTCTGGAAGAGCAGTCGATGCTTTTAACCACTGGGACATCTCTCCAGTCTCACATAAAAGTAGTTTTACTTGATTGAGTCTCAAGTAGCCCAGGCTGGCCTCAAACCATGTAGCTAAGGATAACCTTGAAACACTGATCCCCTGCCTCTACCTCTCAAGTTCTACATGCATGTACCATCACACCTGGTTTACACAGTGCTGGGGACTGAACCCAGGGTCTTGTGCATGCTGGGAAAGTAGTCTGTCTACTAAGTTTTATGTTGTTGTTTTGTTTTGTTTTTCAAGACAGGGTTTCTCTATGTCGCCTTGGTTGTCCTAGAACGAACTCTGTAGACCAGGCTGGGCTTGAGCTCACAGAGATCCACCTGCCTCTGCCTCCTGAGAGCTGGCATTAAAGGCATGTCCCACCACTGCCTGGCTTTCTACTGAGTTACATCCCAGCCCTAGTAGGTGTGTTTAAGTGGACCTCATACTTACATAGGGCAAACTGAGAAGATTTCCTGGGTACAGGACACCCTTGGTCAGGCAGCTGGCATAAGGAAGAAGATGGCATTTCTAGGAATTAAAAGAATAATTGGGAGGAGGAAGCCCCATTAGCAAAAGGCAAGCTGAAGGTAGCCAACTGTCATGATATGGGCACAGGCCTGCATTCTTTCTCATTAGCACATTTCTGGGTGTCTGATGATCTCAGTTTAATCCCCAGGGTGGAATGAGAGAATTATCTTCCCCCAAGTTATCCTCTTACCTACATATACAGACTGTGGCAAGTGTGTACACAAGATCACAGGCACATGTGTATACACACACACACACACAAAGACACACGGCCAAGTGGTGGTGCACACCTTTCATCTCAGTGCTAGGGAAGCAGAAGCAGATGGATTTCTAAGTTTGAAGCCAGCCTGGTCTACAAAGTGAGTTCCAGAACAGCCAGGGCTACACAGAACAACCCTGTTCAAAAAAAAAAAACATTAAAACAAACAAACAAGCAAACAAAAAAGCAGCCATGTGGGTGTGATCCAGCTACTTGGGAGGTATGAAGATCACTTAAGCCTGGGGTTTCAGGTCAGCCTGGGCAACATAAAGAGACCTCATCTCAAAACTGAGAACAGGGGTTGGTCAGGGGTTTGAGAGATGGCTCACGGGCAGTGGTGGTGCACGCCTTTAATCCCAGCACTCGGGAGGCAGAGGCAGGCGGATCTCTGTGAGTTCGAGGCCAGGCTGGACCAACAGCCTCCAAAACAATACAGAGAAACCCTGTCTCGTAAAAACCAAAAAAAAAAAAGAGAGAGAGAGAGAGAGAGAGAGAGATGGCTCAGCACTTAAGAGCACTTGCTGCTCTTGTTGAAGACCTTGGTTTGGGCCTAGCACACACATGCTCACAATCATCTCTAACTCCAATACAAGGGATCTGATGCTCTCACCCTCCTCTGACTTTTGAGGGCACTAGACACACACATGCTGCACAGATACACATGTAGGTAAACTGTTAGTATTCAGGTATCTGTACTGCCCTGCCCTTGGGGTTCTGACAGAATACAACCTCAGCGACAGTCACTAAGAGCACCTCCTGTGCACATTCACTAAATTCCCTTTTAAAAGGGCCCTGCCCATATTCCAATCTCTCTCTCTCTCTCTCTCTCTCTCTCTCTCTCTCTCTCTCTCTCTCTCTCTCTCTCTCTCTCCCTGTCTCTCTGTCTCCTCTGCCCCTCTTTTCTCTTCTGCTGCTTACTCCTGACCCACTCCAGAGGCTGGTCTCCCCTCCCCCTCCCCTTTCCCCCTTTTCCATTCCATTTCCCCTAATTAAAAAAAAAACTCCAAGTGAGCTCTCTCAAATTCTCTCTCTCTCTCTCTCTCTCTCTCTCTCTCTCTCTCTCTCTCTCTCTCTCTCTCTCTCTCTCTCTCTCTCTCTCTCTCTCTCTCTCTCTCCTTTTTAAATTACAACACAAACACCCACACACAGGAAATAAATCTAAAATAATGAAAGCAGGGACCAGAGATGATTCAGACTGTAAAAGCACCTCTCTCCAAGCCCAAAACAGCCTGAGCTGATCCCTAGATCACATGCAAGTTATCTTCTGACTTCCCTCCACATGTGAGCCGAGCAGGCACATGTCCACCACCACCATCACATATGTAAGTAAAAATAAAAACAAGAAATCCAAATCAGCCTATTTCCAAACTCCTCAGGAAAAAGCAAAGATGAGCCATAAGCTGGGGTCCTGGTTCACAAGTCTTAAAAGTATGAATTTTGCTTTACTCAGGGCCTACGTTACAGAAAATGCCTCTTGTTTATATCCCCAAATGCACACAGCCATGGCCATACCCACAGCTACTCAACTTACACCACCAGAGAAAAAAGCAGCCATGCTCTGGGTCCTGTCCCCAAAGAACAAGCCAAGAGCACTGGGCCATTCCCACCCAACTTCCTTAGTCAGTCCTGCTCAACTAAGTGACACCAGCTCACTCACCCTGAACTTGTTCTCCAGGAGCTTCTTTCCATGTGACACTCCCTTTCAGTTTTTTCTGAATTTCTTCTAGCTTTTGGAGAATCTCTCGAATTTTCCTCTCGGATGCACTGGATGTTACCAGCTTTGGAGAACTCAAGGAATGTTCCCTCTCTGAGGAAGAAGCCTATTGATCAATGAGGAAACAAGTAAATGAAAGCCAACTATGGAACTCATCAAATACACTCAAGGGCCGCCTTCCATCTACAGTATTCTTTTCATTTAAGTCTAAACAGGCTTTTAAAAATAAAACTAGGGGCTGGAGAGATGGCTCAATGGTAAAGAGCAATGGCTGCTCTTCCAGGACCCACATGGCACCAGGCATGCATGTGGGCTCAGACATGCAGATAAAACAACCATACACATAAAACAAACAAATAATATTCCCTAGCAGGATGTAGTGGCTCATGTTTGTAATACAGCTTAATAGACCTAAATAAATCTTAAAAATAAATTTAAGAAAGAGCCCTGAAGCAAGAGGACTGCTATGTGTTCAACACTAACCTGGGCTACCGAGTAAGATTCTGTCTCAAACAAAACAAAAGCCATGATGCTCAAGCATTCTTTTCCACAATCTTTTTCAAGACAGGGTTTCTCTGTGTAGCCCTGGCCTGTCCTGGAACTTGTTCTATAGACCAGGTTGGCCTCGAACTCACAGAGATCTGCCTGCCTCTGCCTCCTGAGTGCTGGGATTAAAACCATGCACCACTACTGCCCAGCACATTAGTTTCTTTTTATTTTATGTTTATGAATTCTTTGCCTGCCTGTTTGTGAGTATGTACCACATGTGTGCCTGGTGCCTAAGGAAACCAGAAGAGGACATCAAATCCCCTAGAACTGGAGAGACAGGTGGTTGTGAGCCACCATGTGGGTGCTGAAGATCAACCCAGGTCCTCCGGAAAAGCAGCAAGTGCTTTTAACTGCTGAGCCATCTCTCTGGCCTCTTTTTGCATGAGATTTATCATTTATTACTTAATGTATTTTTTACAGCACTAGGGATCAAATCTAGGACCTTGTGCATGAACTCTACTACTAAGCCACATCCCCAGTCTATAAGATCCTTTTTATTTTCTTTTGTTGTTGTTGTTATGTGCATGTGGTGTGGGGGGGGAAGGAGGGAGGGAGGGAAGGAGAGAGAGAGAGAGAGAGAGAGAGAGAGAGAGAGAGAGAGAGAGAGAGAGTGTGTGTGTGTGTGTGGTATATGTGCACATGGAAAAGGATATCAGGTTTCCTGCTCTAGCGTGCTCTACCTTATTCCCTTGAGACAGGGTCTCTCATTGAACCTGGAGTAAGGCCAGTCACAGTAATCTCATTCCCCCAGCCCCGACACACTTGTAACCCCAATTCCAAGATCACAGTAACATCCCAGGTTCAGGGAGAGACCCTGCCTAGTTTCTGACTGCACAAGTCAGAAAGTTGCAGCTATAATCACTGATGAAAAAAAATAAAAGACACATGGAATCCTAAGAACCTCTGATAGGGACTTTGATTCATTCAAAGCAATCAGTGAAGGCTTCTCTCCCAGAGAGTGCTGATTTAGGGCATGACAGAGGAATAGTCATCCCCTAGGTGATGAATAAAAGAAGCAAATGTTGTGAAAGGCATCCCATAGTGGGAAGAAACAAGACATCCTACAGGAACTGACTGGGCTTGGGTGGCTAGAGCCAGGAGATCAGGAGGGCTGTGGTCAGGAAAGGACACAGGCATGGGGCTCTTATGGTTTTGCTGGGGTCTTAATCCCAAACAGACCAACACTGCCATAGTTTGGATCATATATGGCTCCCCAAAGGTTATCTAGTAATGCTTAATACCCAGGGCGCCATATCTGGGGCAGTGAAACCTTTAGGAGGTGGAGCATAGGAAGCTCTTTAGGCCACTGGGGGCATGAGCCAGTGGAAAATGAGAATGGATTACATGGGCTGGAGAGATGGCTCAGCTGTTAAAGGCTAGGCTCACAACCAAAAATATAAGAGAATGGATTCCTGAAAGCTATGCTCTGATCTCCCCTACAAACACATACCCTCACCTACACACACACACACACACACACACACACATACACACACACACACACACACACACACACACCCTGCTGCACACACAAACTCTTTCCTCCATACAATAATAAAATATTTTTAAAAGGTCACTGAATGGGGCTGGAGAGTTAACTTGGCAGTTAAGAACATTTGTTGCTCTTGCAGAGGACCTGAGTTCAGTTCCCACCACCTACATGATGGCTCATACTCATCTGTAACTTTGATTCCAGGGGGTCCAACACCCTTTCTGACCTCTACAGGCATCAGGCATGCACATGGTACATATATATTAATGCAGACAAAACACCCATACACATAAAATATGATAAATACATCTTTAAAAAATGTAAAGGTCACCGAAGATAAAGACTTGCAAATCTGTGGGATTTACTAAGAGCTTGTTGGTGATTTTAGAGAGTTGACTGGGTAGAGTGGGAAAGATGGATCCCAGCCTACTCGAAGCCTCCATTAACTCATGTCCAGCATACCAGATTTTTTTTTTGGTTTTTACGAGACAGGGTTTCTCTGTATTGTTTTGGAGGCTATCGGTCCAGCCCAGCCTCGAACTCACAGAGATCCGCCTGCCTCTGCCTCCCGAATGCTGGTATTAAAACCGTGCGCCACCACCTCCAGGCTCATACCAGATTTCTAATCATCCATATTTGGCAGTAGAGAGAAACATGAGACCTGTTGCATCCCATGTGTCATACTGCTCTAGCTGGGAGCTGTCCTTCACCCTGGCCCCTCCTTTCCCACCTGAACCTACCATGTCCAGGATGCCTACTTCATTGTCCAGTCCACATCCCGACCTAGGTCTTGGTGTTTGAAGGCTCTTGACAATGTCTTCAAGCTGTTGCCCCAGTTCTGTCAGCTCCTGGATGACCTCTTCTGTGGTGCTCTTCTGTACTGCCACCTTTAAAAGGGCAAAACTGGGCTTCTGGTTCCCAAAAACTGGACCCAGGACCACCACTCAACAAAGGGAGCTATAAACACCAAGGTAGCAGCATGAAAGAAAACATTTAGAGAGATGGAAAAGAAGAGAGAGTCAAGAAACAAATCTTCAGATATGCCATGAAATAGATTTTTGCAAGAATGCCAAGACTACTTAAAGGCACAAGAAGTCTTTTCAACAAATACTAACTAGAAATGTATATCCCTATACCAATGAATGAAGTTAGTCTTTGGTTTGTTTTTGAGACAGGTTGTCTCTACATAGTCCTGGTTGTATTGGAGCTCTGCATGTAGACCAAGCTGGCTTGAAACTCAAGAGATCTGCCTGCCTCTGCCTCCCGAGTGCTGGGATTAAAGGTGTGTGCCAGCTTCTTTCTTTTTTTTAAGATTTATTTATTAAATTCACAGTGTTCTGCCTGCATGAGAGAAAAGAACACCAGATCTCATTATAGATGGTTGTGAGCCACCATGTGCTTGCTGGCAATTCAATTTAGGACAACCTCCAAAGCCATACAGAAAAACCAAAAAGAAAAAGAAAAAGGAAAGAAAGGAGAGAGATGAGAGAGAGACAGAAAGAGAGAAAACAAGGGAGAAAGGCGAGAATGAGGGAGAAAAAGAAGTCTACACCCAGGGCAAGAAGACAGGCAGCTACCAGCCAGCTAGACAAGAGAAGCAGTGAAAATAAGATAAACAGAAGGAAAGAAAAATAAAAAGCTTGAAGCAAAAGGTAAAGCGAGAGAAACAGGTTAATTTAAAGAGCTAGCCAGAAACAAGCCTAAGTTAGACTGAGTATTCACAACTAATAAGAAGGCTCTATGTCAAGCCCAACAGTAGTGGCGCACACCTTTAATCCCAGCACTTGGAAGGCAGTGGCAGGTGGATCTCAGTGAGTCCAAGGTCAGCCTGGTCTACAAAGAAGAAGTCTCAGTGTCATATTTGGGAGCTGATTGATGGCTCAAAAGAAAAATGCCGGTACAGTAGATGAGATATGTGCGGAGGCTGGAGGGACAGGAATCAGGTGTTATTGCTTAGTGAGTACAGAGGTCCTATTTGTGGTGATGAAATCACTTTGGCAACAGTGGTGACAGATGCACAGTATTGGAGATATGACAAATGTCATCGAACCATACACCAAAAAAATTGTTCAAATGGTTGGCCAGTCATGGTGGCACATGCCTTTAATCCCAGCTACTGAGAAGCAGAGGCAAGCAGAGCTCTGTGAGTTCAAGTGGTTTACACCTGTAATCCCAGACTTGGAAAGTCATAGAGGCAGACATCATTACTCACTTGAGGTTCAAGGCCACCTTGGTCTACACTAGGTAGATCCTGTCCCGATAAATAAATAGAATTAAACACTTAAACAATGTTAAAATATTTTATGGCGAATATAGATATACACACATATGTAATAAAACATATGTATATATTCTACAACACTGAAATTTTTTCAGACATCACAGAAAGGCTGGCGGAAAAAGTGGAAATATGCAAGGTTGCACCACACCTCAGCTGGATGGGATTTAGATTTTAACTATTGTGAGATATTTAACTATTGTTTATGACCAGATCTTACTATGTAGCTTTGGCTGGTGTGGGGCATGCCCGTCTCGGCTTCCCAAATCCTGGGATTACAGGCGTGCGGTCTCCACGCCAGGCATTTCAACTTCTTTCTACAAGTCTGAACTTTTCAAAGATTTTAAACTGATAAAATCACGTAGCGGAAGAAGAGATCGGGAGAGCAGGAGAGGCCCAAGGGGGCGCACGCGGACTGCCAGAATCGTGTGGGTTTCCTACCGGCGGCTGCGCGGGGCGACCCGGCGATCGGGGTGCGGGCGCGGTTTCTGGGCCAGCCTCGAGCTCAAGCGCCGCTTGGCGGTACTTGTCCGCCAGGTCCTGCAACAGTAGGTTCTTGCGCAGTTTTGGCTTCGCCTCGGGGCCCTCCCGGCAGGTGGGGCAAGACCAGGGGCGGCCATTCACGCCCGCGCGCTGCGTGGCCCACAAGCCATTGAGGCACCGGTGGCAAAAGCTGTGGCCGCAGGGCAGCGTGACCGGCCAGTTCAGCAACCCTTGGCAGATAATGCAGCTCAGGTCCTCCTCGCTCAACCACACAGGAATGGAAGTGCCTAGGACCGGGGTCGCCATACTGGGCGGTGGCCAGGATGCCCCACCCACCTTACTAGCTCCGCCCGCCCACCTTATGCCCCGCCCAGCCTCTCTCAGTCTTCCCACTCTCTAGAAGTGCTTGGCGTTGCTAGCTAGTTGACCTCCAGTCTGGAAAATCATCTCTCAATCCCCTTCATCCATCAACACGCAACCCTAACAACTTAAGCTGTGAAGAGGGTTCGCTTCAGGAACTCACTTTAGGGTTGCGCCCAGTAGGTGTCGCATTTTATTTTCTGAGATCTGTGCAAACAAAACAAAAAAACAACTTAGTAGCAGTGCAGCCTTAGTTGCTGTGTATTTTGAGATAGAGGCTGAGGGTGAATTCAGATATCTGTTTTTTTTTTTTTTCGAGATAGGGTTTCTCTGTGTGTATCCCTGAGGATTAGTGTGAAATTCCCAGCAACCACATTGGCAGCTCACAACTGTCTGTAACTCCGGTTCCAGGGGACCCGACAGACAGACACACGTGCAGGCAAAACACCAATGCACATAATAGATAGATAGATAGATAGATAGATAGATAGATAGATAGATAGATAGATAGATAGATAGATAGAGTTATAAAAAATAGTCAGGTGAGCCGGGCGTTGGTGGCGCACGCCTTTAATCCCAGCACTTGGGAGGCAGAGGCAGGCGGATCTCTGTGAGTTCGAGACCAGCCTGGACTACTAAGTGAGTTCCAGGACAGCCTCCAAAGCCACAGAGAAACCCTGTCTCGAAAAACCAAAAAAAAAAAAAAAAAAAAAAAAAAGTCAGGTGGTGGTAATGCACACCTTTAATCTCAGTACTCGGGAGGCTAGAGGCAGGCAGATCCCTGGGAGTTTGAGGCAAGCCTGGTCTAGAGAGCGAATTCCAGGACAGTCTCCAAAGCCACAGAGAAACCCTGTCTCGAAAAACAAAACAAACAAAAACAAAAAAAGAGACCCTTTCTTAAAAAAAAAAGTAGGAAGCCGGGCGTTGGTGGCGCATGCCTTTAATCCCAGCACTCGGGAGGCAGAGGCAGGCGGATCTCTGTGAGTTCGAGGCCAGCCTGGAACAAAGTGAGTTCCAGGATAGCCTCCAAAGCCACAGAGAAACCCTGTCTCGGAAAACCAAAAAAAAAAAAAAAAAAAAAAAAAAAAAAGTAGGAAAAACAAACAACCAAAACCCACTTTTTTTTATTTTTGAGGAATTATACCAAAAAACCTTTTTTTAAAATTTAAATTAAATTCTTTCTTAAAAGGAAGGAAGAAAGAAAGAAAGAAAGAGAGAGAGAAAAAATCTCCACCCCAAATAAATCATGATCAAAATAAAGGCTCACCCTCAGTCCCATTTGTCCTAGGTCTCCGTGTTGTATGGATGGTAAGCAGCAGCCAGTTACGATATCGGGTGATAGATTCCATTTGTTAACTTTTTGCATCTCTAGGCCATCCTTAAAGAAAATCGTGAATGGAGTCACACCATCTTCACAGAGTCCAGGAGAGCAACCATGCCATCTGGATTTGTGTTCTCACCAATTTAAAAAAACAAAACAAAACTGATAGTTATTGAAATTAGCAAGGATGTACTTACTTTGCTTTGCGACCCAAGTCATAAAAGGCCTTACTTTTTCAGGTTTCTGTTCTACAAGTTTGCCTTTGAGTGATTTCATGTAATTTTTGATGTAATTTTTGTAGGACTCTTTGGTGAAGCTGGTTTCTAGTAAGTGGTGGTTCATGACAATGAATATCAACAGTGGTGACTACTGTGTTTTCATACCTTCGTCCTCTGGGCCTTGGGCGGAAGCATTTCCACCGATGAGCGAGTCATCAGTATTACCCTCTGTTCTACCGACCATCTTGCCCTTCACCTCCAGGCACAGCCAGTCCGTGATCTTGTAGATGTCGGGGAACAGCTTGTCATAGCTGATGAGGTGCTGGTGGGATTAGGGTGGCTACTGGGACATCAGCGCTGGCCTTACAGGGCAGAGCAAGTGCTTGCATCCAGAGCGGCGCTGGGGGGGGAGGGGGAGAGGCAGGGGGGAGCAGGTGGGCGCTGGGGGGAGGGGAGAGGCAGGGGGGAGCAGGTGGGCGCTGGGGGGGAGGGGAGAGGCAGGGGGGAGCAGGTGGGAAAAGCCATAAACCCCTTTTCTAAGACTTGTCAAGTAAATCTCAATTTTAATCAGTTAAGTTTCTACTTAGAGGTATTTTTGTTTAACTTTATATATTAAGAAAGGAAAATTAGACCCTTGTTCATTTCATTACATCTTTGGCAGGCTAATATTTTTGGAAGGATTTTATTTTATATGTTTGAAAGTTTGGAGGAGTCAACTGAGCTCATTGAATTTATGAAGAATATTTACCACTTTAACTAAAACCAGCCTGTCAAATCAAACTCATCTGTTGTTCAAGTTGAAAAGGGTTGGGGGTGGGGGGCTGGAGATGTAAAGCAGTTGGTAGAGCGCTCACCTTGTGCATGAAGCCCTCCCTGGATTTGACCTCCAGCACTGAGCAAGTTGCCACAGGCCTGTGTCCTCAGTACTCAGTAGAGGGAAGAGGATCAGAAATTCAAGGCTGTCCCTAGCTACATAGTCAGTTGGAGACCAGCCTGGGATGCATAAGAATTTCTCTCACAGAATAAAATAGGGCCGGGTGGTGGTGGCACATGACTTTAATCCCAGAACTCAGGCGGGAAGCAGAGGCAGGCAGATCTCTGTGAGTTTGAGGCCAGCCTGGTCTACAGAGTGAGTTCCAGGACAAGGCAGAGCTGTTATAGAGAAACCCTGTCTTGAACAAAAAATAAATAAAAAAATTTTAAAAAATCAAATAGGACTGGTGAGATGGCTCAGCATGTGAAGTGTTTATTATGCAAGCCTGACACATGAATTCGATCCTGGAATCCACAGAAAGGTGCAAAGGGTTAGGATTAAAGGTGTGCGTCACCACCGCCCGGCAAGACATATAAATTCTTTAACTGCTCTTTTCCTAGCTTGAGGCCTTTGAGCATTTTCTTTCCTCAACTTGAATTATTTCCCTTACCCCTTCCCTTTGATTAACCGCTACTCTTTCTGACTTCCTTCAGTTGCCTGGTTGCCACTCACCACTCTCACTGCAGCCTAAGCACTTTGCCGCTTGCTGCCCCCTGCAGGCAACAGCAGGGATAACTGACTCGCACCTGCCTAGTATGTGGGGCTCAGTTCAGCACTTGGGAAGTGATCAAACACTTGTAATTTACATTGAGTCTCGACAATCAGTGCAGCTTCCTCTTATTTTCTTTTCTTTTTTTTTTTTAAAGTTGTGCACATATGTGTGCCCATGGAGGCCAGAGAGGAAGGATCTCCCTGAAGTTGAAGTCACGCTTACTGGCGAACTGGCTTTTGTGGTTGCTGGGAATGCGAACCCTCTGGGAGAGCAAAAAGTGCTCCTAACTGCTGAGCCATCCAAGTTACCGACTTCCTCATTGTAAATATAAAAAGTAAGGCAAATAGTGAAGTGACTTTTCTTGTGTTCTCAAGATTACTCCTTAGCCCGTTTACTTTCACCTGCTGTGATAATGAATGTGACGTCATCTTCCCGTTATCTCAGTTTCTGTTTCTTCTCAAATGTGCATAAAAATGGAGTTCTCTGAGGAACTTTCTTTTTAAATTCGCTTAACTTTTATTTTACGTGCACTGGTATCAGATGCCCTGGAACTGGAGGTACAGACAGTTGTGAGCTGCCATGTAGGTACTGGGAATTGGACCCAGGCCCTCTGCAAGAGCAGCCAGTGCTCTCAACTGCTGAGCCATCTCCCCAGCCCTCTCTGAGAAACTTTTTTAAATCTTTTTTTTAAATCTGGGTCGTCCTTTAATTCCAGTGCTCAGGAGGCGGAGGCAGAGGGGTTTCTGTGAGTTCGAGGCCAGTCCGGTCTACAAAGCGAGGTCCACGACAGCCAGAGCTACACAGAGAAATCCTGTCTTGAAAAAAATTATTTTTGTTGTAAGTGTTCGATCCACATGTAGTGCCTGTGGAGGCCAGAAGAGGGCGATGGATCACATGGAACTGGAGTTACCATTGTGAGCCTCCCTGTGGGTGCCAGGAACTAGAGTCCTCTGTCAGTGCAGCAAGTGCTCTTAAATACTGAGCTGTCTCTCCAGCCCTCTTGGGAAAAAAGAAAAACTAATTATTATTTTGTTTATTTAAGTGTTAATGATTGAAGTATACACAACCAGCACAGGAGATGAGATCAAGTACCTCCCCTTAGTTATTATGCAGAACCCTCTTCCCTTGAGCAGCAAAGGAGTTTTCTCTGAGATTTCTTCAATTCTCGGTCTCTCTTGCATCATTTTTTCATCTTTTTCTATATGTTCTGGTTTGATAAATACTTTTACCCCCAGTACCTCCCTTTGGTTACCACTATTCCTGGCAAAACACAACCTTCCACGGAGCTGTACCTCCAGCCCCTCCCAGGAACTTTGGGGCAATATCTTAGCAGGTAGCCCAGGGTGTTCTCAGACTCTTGGCTCAAGTGGCCCTGCAGAACCCCCCTGAGAACTTGAGTCTGCAGATGTACCCAGCATGCCCCGCTTTGGGGTATTGGATTCTTGAAGGAAAACCATTGCCTTTGAAAAGTGAAGACTGGGTGTTTTATCAACTTTTTAATATGAAAACTCAAATCTGTGTAAAATGCTCACAAGTAGGAAAAGAAATGCCCATCTATGCTTCCTCTAGATTCATCAGTGGTGTGCTGTGTGTGTGTGTGTGTGTGTGTGTAGAGAGAGAGAGAGACAGAGGAATGGACATATGTGCATTCTACTTGTGTACTACATGTATTGATGTTTTTCTTTTAGCTGAACCATTTAAAAGTTTGGTGCAATCTCTGTGAGTTCGAGGCCGGGCTGGACCGATAGCCTCCAAAACAATACAGAGAAACCCTATCTCGTAAAAACCAAAAAAAAAAAAAAAAAAAAAAAAAAAAAGTTAGCCGCAGACACCATTTACACTTTACTGTGTCACATGTCCCCTAAGAACAGGAACACTATGCAAACACATCATGATTGTCACAATTTTACAATGCTGTTAGCTAATACATATCCAGGTCCTGTTTTCTGCAACATCAATTATGTCCTTTACAGTGGATTCTTTTTTAAAAATCATTTTATTTTATGTGTATTGGTGTGATGGTGTCAGATTCTCTGGAACTGGAATTACAGTTGTGAGTTACCATGACAGTGCTGGGAATTAAACAGAGATCCCCTGGAAGAGCAGCCAGTGCTCTTAACTGCTGAGCCATCTCTCCAACCTCCAGCTTCTCTTTCTTAATGTATTATTTTAAGTACATTGGTGTTTTGCCTGCATGTATGTCTGTGTGAGGGTGTCAGATCTTGGAGTTACAGACAGTTGTAAGATGCCATGTGAGTGCTGGGAATTAAACCCGGGTCCTCCGGAAGAGCAGCCAGTGCTCTTAACCACTGAATCATCTCTCCAGACCCTCCTCTCAATTTTTTTTTTTTTTCGAGACAGGTTTTCTCTGTAGCTTTGGAGGCTATCCTGGAACTCACTTTGTTCCAGGCTGGCCTCGAACTCACAGAGATCCGCCTGCCTCTGCCTTCCGAGTGCTGGAATTAAAGACGTGCGCCACCAATGCCCGGCATCCTCTCAATTTTTTTTAAACAAGTTCTCTTTGTATATTCCAGGCTGTCCTGAAAGTTGATATGTAAACCAAGCTGGCCTTAAACTCACAGAGATCCACCTTCCTCTTCCTGCTGAGTGCATGGGCCTAAAGGCATGCATTACCATGTCTGTCCAGTTTTATCTTTTAATATTGATATTGGAAGAGTTCAGGCTAGTTGTATAGCAACATGTAATATTTGAATGTCTGATTATTCCTTCATATTTAGGTTCACACTAAACTTTTACGGTTTTTCTACTTGTCCAATCTTGATGCTGAGGGTGCTTTTTTTTCCTTTTGGTTTTTTTGAGACAGGGTTTCTCTGTGTTGCTTTGGAACTTGTCCTGGAACTCACTATGTAGACCACGCTGGTCTCGAATGCAAAGAGATCCGCCTGCCTCTGCCTCCTGAGTGCTGGGTTGAAAGGAGTGCACCACCAACACCCTTTGATGGTGCCTTTTTACTGCAATGTCTCTTCCCATTCTCTGTAGTTTTTGTTGTTTGTTTGCTTCCTTTGTTTTTGTTTTTGTTTGTTTGTTTTTTGGTTTTTCGAGACAGGGTTTCTCTGTATTGTTTTGGAGGCTGTCCTGGCACTTGCTCTGTAGACCAGGCTGGCCTCGAACTCAGAGATCCGCCTGCCTCTGCCTCCCTGGTGCTGGGATTAAAGGCGTGCACCACCAACACCCGGCTTGTTTTTGTTTTGAGACAAGGTCTTGCTATGTAATTCAGGTTGGAATTGAACTCTCTGTGTGGTCCAGGCTGGCACTCCTGCCTCTTGACAGGCATGCTTCTCCACACCCACTCTCGATGCAGATATGAGAAAGCCTCAGGACTTGTAAGCTTGGGGAGCTAAATTCTTCTTGGTACCAGCTCCCCAAGACTGGGAAATGTTTGCTGGAAGGATGGTGGGAGCCACAAGATAAACCACACCCTCAGTCTTGACAGAGTTCACTCACAGGGGCAGCTGCTGGCCTCCGCGCTTCCTCTGGACAACCAGGGCAGAGGTGAACATTTCTCCAGGATTTTAGGTGCTCAGTGGCCAGTCAGTTCTGAGAGAGGTCACCTGAGGCCACAGCGACTCTCTGCTGATGCATCTGCAAGGGAAAGAAGCGGTCTGGGGAAGGTGGCCGTGCTAGTGCTGTCCTGCTAGGGGAAAGGAATAGCCACGGGGAGAAGTGTGGGATGACAGAGGGAGCCAGAACAGCACTGAAAGCAGAAAGAAACTTTAAATGAGAATAAAACGGAAATAATGACTGAAGGAGGTAGATAGGGGACAGACACACGGGTAGAAAGGGAAAGTAAAGCAGGGACAGACACAGAGCAGGCCCACAGAGAAGAGAGAGCAGTGCTGAAGTTGCGGGGTTTTCTTTGTTTTTGTTTTGTTTTGTTTTTTGTAGTTTGAGACAGGGTCTCGCTATGTAGCTCCAGCTGTCCTGGAACTCACTATGTAGGCCAGGCTGGCTTAGAACTCAATGAGTTCTACCTGCTTCTGCCTCCCAAGTACTGGGACTAAAGGCATGCACTAGTACCACGCCAGGTTGTAACAGTTGTATTTATACTGGTAAGTCTAGAAAGACACAAGGGCCTCCCCCAGGGGCTGTTGGGGTTACCTGTTTAGTCTGTACTTTTCCAAACACAAGAACTTTTCCTTTATGCCCCAGAAGCTGGGCCCTGGGCCAGATGTTTCCTCCTTAGCTCAGCATATCTCTGCTTTTCACAGAGCTGTCAACAGATGGGAACAGTCTCCTTGTGACACATGTGGGGTGAAGAGGAGGAACAGGGTAGGGGGACAGACAAAAGAGAGGGTTAAGGAAAGGGAGAACACTAAAAATAACCTCCCCTCTGGGAGGGGAGGAATCCAGAATCCTGGGAGGTGCCTGGCAGGGTGACCTCTGCTAAGGATACCAGGCCAGCATTTTCTTATGAGAAAAAGGACAAGGGTGTGGAGAATCTGAGCAGCTGGGCAGAGCCTGTCTCCATAGTTCTGCTAGGGCAAGACTCCTCCTGAAGCTCATGAGGACAGCTGCATAGAGGAACTTGGTGCAGAGGGGACTTTCTGGCAATAATGTGCAATGTGTGTGCTTTTCTCTGGCCGGAAGTTAAGGTTAACAGAAAACGCTGAGTCAGGCCCTTCCGGGATCACAGTGAAAGAGCCCTTTTCTGCCCTCACCCAAAAGAGCCCCTAAGCCCACCCCCAGCCCCGCTTCTCACTGAGGAGTTGGAGGGGCGATAAGGGACTGGACAGGACACCCCGAAGACTCTCCAGCCATTCTCGCTGCTCCTTCTCACTAGGGCAGGTGAAGATGAATTTCCGCTCTGGAGTGATGACAGTGAGTCCAGCCTTCCAGCGATTCCCTCGGATGCCCTTGGGCAGGTCTTCACATACTTCATACCCCTGCTCATTTCTTCCCAGTAAAACCTGGCCCTGCTCAAAAGCATCCTGAAAATGGAAGACATGTGGTCATCAGAGGCTGTTCTTGGGCAGAGGGACCTTCGCAGCCCTGCCATTCCCAAGGTCAGGCTTAGTAAAGATCTGTCCGTCCATGTCATTGCCAGATGTGACTTCAAATCTGAAACATCAAAGCCTAAAGTATGTGGCACCCTAATCTGCTGAAGACACTAGCATACAGAGAATACACCAGGCACTGAGAACTCAAAGGCTGGGTTTTTTGTTTGTTTGTTTTTGCTTTGTTTTAGGCACTGGGGATTAAGCAAAGAGTCTGAAACAAACCAGGCAAACCCTCTACTGCTGAGCCTAGTCCCACTCCCTCACTTTAATTTTGAGACTAGTTCTCACTAAATTACACAGGTTGGCCTTGAACTTCTTCTGAAGCCCAGGGAGTCTGAATCTGCAATCCAACAGTCTCAACTTCCCCAGTAGCTGGGATTACAGGCTGGTGCCCCCCAGACCTAGCTGAAGTGGTTTACATGTTAGCAACTTGTATACTCATCATGGCCACTTCTGAGCAAGGCATTAGTGCTAAGCCAGTATTTTGGTAAGAAGGCAAATGCAGCATAGAGAGCTACCTGCATACCCATACCAGGGCTTGGCTCTACAATGGCAGGGCTGAGACTAGAGGCCAGAGCCTAGCCAAACTGGTTCCTGAGCCCCATAGCCCTAATCACTCCACTCCAAACCTCCAGGTTACAAGGGAGAAGTTGGTCACACCTTGCTTTAACCACAGTTGTCTGCTCTGGGGATCCTGAATGGAGCTGAGTGAGAAGTAGGGATACAGGCTTTCCTGTCATGGGTTCCCCTGTCCTGGGATTCTAAGAGATATTCTTTCTGTATTAGCCCACCTGACTGGGAACACACTAGGGAGGGTTCTGGAATGGCTCTTACCAGGGGGTTCTTGTAATACAGCAGCCTTCGCTCCAGGGGATCCAGGGCAAACCATCTTTTCTTGAAGGGTTCTCTCTGCTGCAAAAGAAGGAACCTCTTATCAGACATGGTGAAGCCAGGCACAGAGGTCAGAGCCAGCTCACAGAAGAGTCATCACACTGGTTCTCCAGCCTGGCTTTTGCAATCAGACACCAGAGCTTCTCCCTGAGGCTAGCTCCTGGAAATGCATGCTCTCCCCACCTGACAGGGAGGGCTGGGGCTGGAGTCCAGCCAAACTGGTTCTGGGGTCCTCAGGTCTGAACACCTACTCAGACTCTGGGTTGTTTGATTGCTTTGAGACAGGGTCTCGCTGTGTAATCCTGGCTGCTCTGGATTCCCCAGCTTCTACCCAGGAATGCTGGAATTAAAGGCGTACACCACAGTGAGCCAGCACTGGCTCAGACTCGGCTCAGCCCAGTCCCTCTCCACCCAACACCCTCGGCTTTGCTTTGCACGTCTAGGTGCGCTAGGGAGTGACAGAGGTACTTCCCTCTTTCTCAGGCTGCCAACAAAGAAGGCTCAGAAAAAGGAAGCCAGGGAAGTCAAAAGTGGCTCCTGCTCACAAAGTTGAAAGCGCTGGCCTTTGGCTCAACCTAGGTCAGGGGAGAGAAAGGCTTGAGGCAAAAACCAGGGACTGTGCCTGGCTTCTGCCGGAAGGGGCCTGTATACCACCAACTGACCAAGTTTCCAACTCCTGAGACTTTCTTTTCTTTTCCCTTCCTTCTTTTTCTCTTTCTTTCTGTCTTTCTTTCTGTCTTCCTTCCTTCCTTCCTTTCTCCTCCTTCTCCTTCTTTTTTTTGGGACATAGTTTCTCTGCATTGTCTTGGCTATCTTGGACCTTGTTCTGTAGACCAGGTTGGCCTCCAACTCAGAGATCCACCTGCCTCCCCAGGGCTGGGATTAAAGGTGTGAGCCACCACAGCCTGGCTCCTAAGGTTTTCTTCCACTGACCTCCAACACCTTTCAGGAACCTCGTAACAACCATCGTGTAAGACATTATAATTGTGTTTTTGCACTGAACCCCTGACCTTATGCATGCTAGGCAAGCCCTTTACCCTGAACTACACACCGCACCCTACCCCACCTTATTAAGCTTTTTATTTTGAGATGGGAGGGGATGCAGCCTCACTTTGGATTTGTTATGTAGGCCAGGCTAGCTTGCATTCTTCTGTCTCAGCCTCCTAAGAATCTGAGTTTGTGCAACCGTTGTCTGGTTCACAGGAAACCCCAGGCTCCTCCCCTCAGGGGCATCTCCTCTTCCTCCTCAGAAAATAGTGAAGGCATGGAAGGCATGGGCTCTAGTGAGGTGGGGGTGGGCTGAGAGAAGAATGAATGCATTGCCATGCTTTTTCTTTCTTTCTTTCTTCCTTCCCCCTTTTTTTTTTTTTTACCATGCTTTTTCAAACTAGCCCTGTCTGCTAGATTCAGAAACATCCGCTCAAAGCCGTCTCTCTAGGGAATTCCTTCTCAGCATTGCTTTCCCAGGATTAGCTAAAGTCTAATGGTGACAGACACAATGAACCTGACAGGGTGGTACACAACTGTTCTGGTGGAAAGTTCCACCCCAAGCCCTATCTCCAAATTCTGTTGCATCTCAGAAAGCCCACCAAATGATGACCCCTCCCCTAGAGATGCTCAAGACCACAGGTATTTACACTGTCCCCCAGAAAACAGACTCCTGGGCTCCCTTTTCCATCTCCTGTCTGGGGGGCTGGAAAATCATCCAGGAGCGTTTTATCTATTAAACATGGGCTTTCTTCTAATTCAGATTGATTTGGTCTGGTTCACATTGCTGCCTCAGCAGACAGGATTATTCAGGTGCAGAAACATTTCAGCAGCCGCTAGAGCAATGTCGGGTCACACAGCAGTCAACTAGTCTCTGCTCAGTCCTTCAACACGGAAACTCACAAATACTGGTGTTCTTTCTTCCCCTTTCTCCTCAGCCCTCCCTCCCACCTCCGCCCACACCTTTCTGCTTTACTGGTGGTTGGGACAGGACCATGTCAAATAGCCCAGAAAATGTACCTTCGGACCAGTCTTCTCCATGAAGCCTTGTTTGAGGTAGTTCCTGGTGATGAGAGGCACGAGCTGCAGGGAGAGACAAGGCTGACTCCCTATTCTCACAGAGACCTTTCAGGTTCCAGACTGAATTCGGGCCCAGGACAGAAGTTTGGAGTGGAGAAGCGAGTGTACCCATGGGTAATGGGTTATATTTGGAGTGTGTGTTGGATATAATACAAATAGTTCAAGAAAGCCAGTCAAAGGGCCCCTGATGTGTCTGTAGAGTTTCCTAGCACAGGCCAGTCATGATTTAAGTGCCTCATTCATTCATTCATTCATTCATTCAGGCAAGGCTGTCAAGAGACCCACTTGTCAACAGGCATGGTATCGATTGCCTTTAATCCCAGTCCCTGGGGGAAGCAGACAGATCTCTCAGTTTGAGGCCAGCCTGGTCTACAGAGTGAGTTCCAAGATAGCTAGGGCTACATAGAGAAACCTTATTTCAAAAGGAAGGGGGTGGGGAGAAACCCACTTGTCTGTTGTGGCAGGCTCTGGGTATAATTCCCTACCACCCTGGGCAGTAGATTTCATCAGCCTCACCTTACTCACTAAGAATCCAGGCCACAGAGATGTGAGCAGACACTTTGCTGAAGTCACGTGGTGGCTGATAGCATGAAGAGGTGGGGCTCATACTCAGGGCTGACAGGCAGCAGGCCTGTGTACCATCACACTGTGTAAAGATGCGGAGCCCTTTGACCACACTCCCTGCCATGCCAGCTGAGACCTGCTCACAGATTCTGGCACAGGCCGTGAAGAGGCGACGGCAGGAAGGACAAATAGAGAAAGCTCTGGACTGGGTGTTAGGCGATCAGAATCTTAGCACCACTTCTGGCCTCAGCCAGCTGTTACCTTGGTAAGACTTCTGTCTCTGGGGGTCCATTTTCAACTGTGACCTACAACAGCCCTCACAGTCTGCTTTCCTATGCCTAGAGAAAGGAGCTCCCAGAAATTGGCCATGGCTTCCTGTGCTTCCTGGAAGTGGGGAGAGGGGAACTGGACAAATTCAGGGTTCAAACGGCAGAACAACAGCAGGGTCCCTGGAGCTACAGGGGTAAAACTGAGGTGGGATGTGGGGAATCATGACAGGAAGCAAGAGAGAGAAGTTGAGACCCCAAATTAAAATCTACACCAGACTACTCAATTCTCCTCAAATACATTCTATAGCATTTATTCTGTTTGGATAAAATAGGGCCCCCACCGTTCTGAACTCTGAATTTGAGGCAGCACAGGCCTAGGTGGACAAAAGAAACAAGGGAAGTCACCTGACTGGAGTGCTCTTTGCTATACTTCAGACACTGACTCACTATTTTCATCAAGGCCTTGGTGACAAGACAGTTGAGTACTCTGAAGCTCAGAGATGATGTCATTTACTGGGCAGCACACTAGGCTCTCTGATTCCAGGGTCTATGTGCACTTCTCTTCTCTTTTTCTTTTTTGTTTTGTTTTTTGGGACAGGGCTTCTCTGTGTAACAGTCCTAGCTGTCCTGAAACTCGCTCTGTAGACCAGGCTAGCCTCGAACTCACAGAGATCCTCCTGCCTCTGCCTCCTGAGTTCCGGGATCAAAGGCGTGTGCCACCGCCACCTGGCACACTTCTCCTTTCATTCCCTCCCTCCATCCCTCCTTTTTTTCCTTCTTCCACCCTCGACATGTTTTCTGTATCCCAAGCTGGCCTGATTTTGAACTCACTGTGTGGCCCAGGCTGGCCCAGTGTTGAGAATGGGACTCAAGGTCTAACCCAAACTAGGCAAGTGCTCTGCTATTGAGCTACAGTGCAGTTCAGATGAGAGGATTACATCTCCGCAAAGACTTCCTGGGTTTCCAGCACCAATTTCTTAAGCCAAGGCACCACACCTAACGTAGGGAAGAAAGAGGAGCAGGCAGGGCAGGTACGATAGTGGTTGATGAAGGAGACAAGGGGCATGGAGGGCACTGGTCAAAGACTAACTTCCTCCACACAGTTTAGCAAACACATGAAGCCAGGCCAGATTAAACAAGGCTGAGCACCTGCTCCGTACCCTCCCGCCTCCTGGGTCAGCAGTCAGCACCCTGCACTTTTCACTGAGCCAGCAGCAACCAGCTCTGGGTGCTGACTAAGCACAGCAACTTCGGCTTTGAGGCCTGACCCCAAGCCTTGCTGGAACAGTGCCTAGGGAACTTCTAAATGGGTGCATTACTGGGCCTGGAGTCAACCCTCTTCCAGACACTCAACTCCCTGTAAACACTGGGAATTGAGGAACATTTAGGCTTTCAATTAAGGTCTGACAGAGTAGACTGAGAAACTCCAGGATCAGGCTGAGGAGATGGTCCTGTAGGTAAATGCTTGCCATGGCAGCATGAGGACCCACCCAATTTTGAGCAACAGTACCCACATAAAAACCGAGCATGGTCATGAGTGTGGTAACCTCAGCACCGGACGGGAGGGTCCTTGGGGTTCTCTGGCCAGTCAGCCTAGCCTAATGGGAGAGCCCAAGCCAATGAAGAGGGATTGCCTTAAGAAATAAAGGTGGGTGGCAGCTAAGGAATGTCACATGAGGCTGACTTCTGGACTCCACATGTATATGTACACACAAACACACACACATACACACATACACACACACAGGATTCAGGCTGGTAAGATGGCTTAGTGCACACAGGGAATAAATATATATCAAAAACTTAGAAAGAAAGAGAGAGAGAGGAAGGAAGGAAGGAAGGAAGGAAGGAAGGAAGGAAGGAAGGAAGGAAGGAAGGAAAAGCCTCAAGAAAAAGAAACTTCAGGATTTTCAGGATGTGGGCCTGTAATATCAGTATTTGGGAGGTAGAGGGAGGAGGGTGAGGAGTTCAAGATCATCCTCAGTTACATAGTGAGTTCTAGGCCAGCCTCAGTTACAAGATTCTGTCAAGAAGAAAGACAGACCCAAGGATCAGCATGGTCCCTTTGTCCCTATAACTTTAAAAAAATCCTTTTAACAGGAAGCTTAAATGTCCTCAAGGCTGGCATGGTGTTGAACACCTTTAATCCCAGCACTCAGGAGGCCCAGGTAGGTGGATCTCTGTGAGTTACAGGCCAATCTGGTCTACAGAGTGAGTTCTAGAACAGACTGAGCTACATACTGAGACTGTGTCTCAAACAAATACCACCACCAAAAGAACAAAAAGGAAACCCACATCCTCAATTATAGAACCTCATAGGTAAAGGGACCCTGAAGGAGATCTGGACCAGCCTCTATCTTCCTAATATGGAAACATGCTCAGAAAGGCATCATGACCAGTAAGGGTCACATAGCATGTCAGTGACTGGGTGTCCATGAGGCCCAGGCCTCCCGATTTAAAACGTCATCCTTTGCCCCATGTCACTCCAGTGTCCCCCAACAAGACTGGGGAAATGGACAATCAAAATGAAGTTCTCAGTTTACTGTTACCTTCCCCACCACAGGCAGATGCACCCCTGTAATAAATAAGGAGAGCCCCTACATCTTCCTAAGCGCAGGGCACCACAGCGCATAGTGGGGATAGCCAGGGAAGAACGCATTTCATTACTTACTTAGCAGAAATAATCACCCAGCCCAATTGCCTGTTCTAAGTAATTACTGTATAGAAAGGGTTATGAGATAAAATGGGTCAAAAGCACTGTGCATACAGTATGTGGGGCCATTTGCATATGGGAGAGGTCAGAAAGATGTTTGAAGGCTGAGACCTTTGACCCTGCAGAAACTTATTATCCTCCAGTCTCCCTGGGCTTTACCTGCAATAAACCTGGTCTAGCCCCTAAGTATTTTAGGGGGTCAGGAGACAGGAAGAGGAAAAGGGAGGGGATGGGAGATCCAGAAGCCAGGCCCACATTTAGCTCACCTCAGACTCTGGGAGATCAGGGAAGGCCAGTTTTAGGTATTGCAGGCGGGCTGCACGGAGAGCATTGAACCAATCCACTATCTCCTGCCAGGGAAAATTCAGAGTACACACAGTGGTGAGATGAACGGGTGTGTGAGGACCTGATGGCAGGGCTAGAGGTATCAGGGTTACCAACATGCACAAGCATCCAGCAAACAGACACATCACACAGTCCCATTGAGGGACATCTGGAGAGGGTGATGTCAGAGCCCAGGGGACTGCCCTGAGCTAGCCGGAAGTCACAGACAGGAAGGGCTCCCAGCCATGGAAAAAGACCAGTGTGAGCTGCACAAAATGGCTTAGTCCACTTCCTAAAGTTTGTGAGAATCCCCTGGATTCCTACTAGGAGATCATCGGTGTGGAGTGGGCCTGAGACTACGCCTCTCAGGGGCTGCGATGCTGTGGGCTGCTGGGACGCACACACGTCTTTGGATGGGGGTGGGGATTACATATGGAGACACTCCTCCTCCATCAGAGATGCTCAGGACCTGGAATGCCACAGCTGGATGGACTTTTCTGTTGCCACAGTGAGAGAATACATCCTTCATAATCACGGGGCAACATCATCCCACCTGGAGATGTTCAAGGCTTTATCAGCTGCTCTCCAATCAGACATCCTTCCTCTTTCTTCATTCTACCCCCATGCTTCATTTCATGTGTATGTGTGAGTACCTACATGTGTGTATGTGCCCCCAAGTGCAGAAGACAGAAGAGAGCCTTGGATCCCCTATAACTGGAGTTATAAGCAGCTGTAAGCTACCATGTAAGTGCTGGAAACTGAACTCAGGGCCGCTGTAAGAACAGCAAGTGCTCTTAACTCCTGAGACATCTCTCCAGCCTCTGCTTTTCACAGTATCTAGGGAAGCCCTCAACAACTGATCTGTATCTCCAGAGTCCTTTTTACTTTTTTGTTTGTTTGCTTTTTGTTTTTTGAGGTAAAGTCTCAGAGTGGCCTTGTAGCTAAGTAGCAGAGGCTAGCCTTGAACTGTTGATCCTTCTGCCTCTTTCTCCCACATACAGGGATTGCAGATGTGCATTACCATACCTTTTTATTTTATTGTTATTTTTGATACAGGGTCTTGCCATGTAGTCCATACTTGAACTTGGTTGTGAGCCTCCTACCTCTACCTCCCATTTACTAGAATTGTGTGTGTATCACCACATTCATCCCTTCCTTCCTTTCTTCCTCCCTCCTTCTTTCTTTCTTTCTTTCTTAAGAAATTTTCATTGAAAGCTTATACTGAGGCAGGCATAGTGGATACACCCTTTATCCCAGCACTCAGCAGGCACAGGTAGGTAAATCTATATTCATTTGAAGCCAGCCTGGTCTACATAGTGAGTTCCAAGATAGCCAGAGCTATATAGTGAGACCCTATCTCAAACAAACAAGAAGGAAACTTGTACTAAGACAATTGGTAGCGTCGACACAGAGCAAGGGGTTGAAGAGATGGCTCAGTGGTTGGGAGCACTGTCTATTCTTACAAAGACCTGGGATTGATTCCCAGCACTTGCATGATAGCTCACAACCATCAGTAACTCCAGTTCCAGGGAATCCCTCTTCTGACCTCCAGTCAGTGCATGCATATGGTTTAGAGATAATACACACAGGCAAAATACCTATAAACATAAAATACCAAAAGGAAACACCGAGTAAGATGGTGTGCACCTCGGCCGGGTGGTGGTGGCGTACGCCTTTAATCCCAGCACTCGGGAGGCAGAGGCAGGTGGATCTCTGTGAGCTCGAGACCAGCCTGGTCTACAGAGTGAGTTCCAGGACAGCCTCCAAAACAATACAGAGAAATCCTGTCTCGAAAAAAAAAAAAAAAAAAGATGGTGCGCACATCCCACTCACTACCCACACTCACATCACCTCAGGCTCCCTTCCCTCCTGCCCTCCCCCTCTTTTACCTACAACAGTCCATTCCTTACATAGGTGTTTAGATGCTGGGATAGATTCTCAGGCATTTGGCTCCTGCCCCCGTCTTTCTCCTCTGAGAATTGCTGGCCTGATCCTCAATCCCACACCCTACAATCCCCACCCTGACTTAGCTACAGCAACTGGACCAATACAGAGGAGGTGCCGGACTTGTCAGTTAGGTTCTCTCTCCCAGGAATTTGGCATGCAGAGGTTGAAAGACTTGCTTGGATAGCTGTGGTACAGGGCTGTCATGACTGGGAAAGTCGGTAGAACACAGTTCCAACAGGATGCAACAAGTTCTTTTCTATCCCCCAGACAGACATGGGGGCCTGGTCCCCTGGACACGTGAGCTCTCCTGTCCTGGTGTTTGTTAAGGGCTTTCTTGGCAGGGTATGTTGGCCTATGTCTATAATCTCAGCAGGAGGAAGGCTAAGGCAGGAGGATTTCTCCAAGTTAAAAACCAGCTGGACTACATAGCAAAACATAAGTCCTCCTGAGAAAAGAAAGAAAAACAAACTATAAAACATAAAAGGTCAGCCGGGTGTTGGTGGCTCACGTCTTTAATCCCAGCACTCAGGAGGCAGAGGCAGGCGGATCTCTGTGAGTTCGAGACCAGCCTTGTCTACAAGAGCTAGTTCCAGGACAGCCTCCAAAGCCACAGAGAAACCCTGTCTTGAAAAACAAAACAAGCCGGGCGTTGGTGGCGCACGCCTTTAATCCCAGCACTCGGGAGGCAGAGGCAGGTGGATCTCTGTGAGTTCGAGGCCAGCCTGGTCTACAGAGCGAGTTCCAGGACAGCCTCCAAAGCCACAGAGAAACCCTGTCTCGAAAAACCAAAAAAAAAAAAAAGAAAAAAAAGAAAAAAAGAAAAAAAAAAGAAAAAAAAAAAGAAAAACAAAACAAACGAACAAAAAACCCACAAAAGGTCTTGGGTCTTAGGCATTACATAAATGGGACCACTTCAGAAAAAAAGGTACTCAGTATGTACATGGTCAAGTTCCCAGCATTGAAAATAGAAAACAAGCCTTTAATCCCAGCAGTTAAGAGGCAGAGGCAGGCGGATCTCTGCAAGTTCGAGGCCAGCCAGGTCTAGATCGAGTTTCAGGATAGCCAGGGCTGCACAAAGAAACCCTGTCTCTAAGGAAATGAAGGTTAACAGCCACCAAGAGTACGTCTAGCAAAGTTAAACGACCCCAAAATGTCAGCCAGTGCTTCCCCCACGCCTACCTAGTGTCTCCACCCTGTAACCATCACTGACTATGCTGATGATCTGATCCAATTCACTCTCACATATATCCTTTTGCCTGACTGCCCTCCTCTGACTGGACCAATGTCCCTGTCTTGCTATGTAGTCCTCAAACCCACGAATCTCCTGCTTCAGCCTGCCAACCCCTGGGATTATAGGAACATACTGGTTCTCAAGCATTATTGTATGTTCTAATCACCCAAGACTCTGTCAGAGTCTCTAATTGAGAGGGTCTGGGTGCCTTAAGACCAGTCCTTTTATCTATTTATTTGGGGGCTGGACAGACAGCTCAGCAGTTAAGCACACTGGCTGTTGTTCTTCCAGAGGACCCAGGTTTGACTCCCAGCACCCACATGGTACCTCACAACTATTTGTAATTCCTGTTCCAGGGGAATCCGATACCTTATCCTGGCCTCCATGAACACAAGGCTCATACATGATACACAGATATAAATGCAGGCAAAACACCTCATACATAAAATAATTTTCTTAAAATATTTATTTGTGCTGGGCATTGGTGGCACATGCCTTTAATTCCAGCACTCAGAAGGCAGAGGCAGGCAGATCTCTGTGAGTTCGAGGCCAGTGTGGTCTACAGAGCCGAGTTCCAGGACAGCCTCCGAAACAATACAGAGAAACCCTGTCTCGGAAAACCACACAAAAAAAATTATTTGTTTTTATTTAATGTGTATAAATGTTTTGCCTGCATGTATGTCTATGCACCACATAAGTGCCTTGTGCCCACAGAGGCCAGAAGAGGGCATTTGCTGCCCTGAAACTGAAGTTATAGACTGTTGTGAACCATCATGTGGGTGTTGGGAGCTGACCTTCCTCCCAAATCACAATCTCGGGCCCTACCTGGACTTGCCATTTCTTCACTGTTTGTTTGTTGTGTGTGTTGTTGTTGTTCTTGTCTCGCTACGTAGTCCTGGCTTGCCTAGAATTCACTATGTAGAGCAGGCTGGCCTGAAACTCGCAGAGATCCACCAGACTTTGCCTCCTGGGACCTGGTGTGCACTGCCGCAACCATTGGATTGCCATTTCTGGCTGTGGGCCTCCCTGCCACCTTCTCTCTCACTGTGCCCTGCTAGTGTATGTTCTCAGCATCTGAAAGGTTCATCTCCTACATCTCATTCTGCCTCCCTTAGATCTCTGACTTACTACAAAGTGGAAACAGACCAAGACAAACAGCAGCAGAAGCAGCAGCGCAGCAGCAGCAGCCTAGCAAACCCATGATGAACTGCGGGGTAGGAATAGTGAGCAGAGCCCAAAGGGCTGGGTGCCACGCTGGAGACTGCAGAGGTGACTTGAGCCATCTCACCTTCCCACTGTCATGATATACAAAGAGATTCCTGGTGTGACCCTCTCTTCTGTAGGTGATCTGCAGCCCATGGGGATGTCCTATCTTCTCTGTCTGGAAGGTGGCATTCAAGTCCTTGATGTTGATGACAGCCTTTGGGGTTTTACCCTAGAAGAGAGAAGGACAATTCTCAAGATACTGATGGCAATAGGTGCCTTATTGTCACCTTTGCCAAGACCTTTAATACAAACAAGCCCCCAATACATAGCCCTGGGTTGTTCTAATAGCCAAAGGCACAGCTGTCCTCCTGCTGCCTAGCCACACTGGCCCCTCGGAGCTGGAAGCAGGTCTAGAAACCATTCGCTTTGAATTTTTCACACATTTTAGCCACAGAAACTTGCCTGGAGTAAACCAGCCACTGTCGTGAAATAGAAATAGAAGCAGTCGTGGGGGCTCAGAGCACACCTGTCACACACATCCTCTGTGCCTGATCCTTGGGCTCTGACACATGGTGGAGAACTAAATGATACCAGAAAGGAACCCTGACCAGAGACATGATGATTCCAAGCCCCCACACCTGCAGGAACCACGTTGAGTCCAAAACTTTTTCAAACACAATTTGAAAATTCCATTCTTAGTCACACTTGGTCTCATGTCAAGTGCTCACTAGCCAGCTAACACCCATGGCTATGAGACCCAGACAGGGCATACACAGAATACTTCATCACCAGGGAAATGTCTATGGAACATCTCTAGAGGGAAACCTGGTCCTACCCATTAAAATGTTGATGCGATGACTACTGTTGTTGCGTGTGCCTGTGGGTGTGTGTGTGCCACGGAACACATGAGAAAGTCAAAGCACAACCGTCAGGAGTCAGTTCTCCCCTCCCATCATCTGCTCCAGGACATGAACTCAGACTGCCAGGCACTCACACCCACTGGGCCGTCTTCCTGACCCGAGTGTGTTGTTTGACCTACAGTTTGCATCTAAGAATCTACTACAAGGAAATAGCTGCGTGACTATGCAGACATGTGTCAAACCATGTTTGCTATAGGATTGTATAGGTAGCAAAAGGTCTGGGGAATGTACCATAGTGATAGATTGTTTGCCTTGCATGTCCAGGGCCATAAATTCAATCCCAGCACCACAAGCATGCACATACACACCAAACACACACACACACACACCACAAAACAAGGGAAACAAATTAAATGTTATCAATTATAATGGGCTAAATAAACCACATTACAGGCACACAATGGAATACTACAGAATTAAAAAATTGGCCAGGCATTGGTGGCACATACCTTTAATCCCAGCACTTGGGAGGCAGAGACAGAGGCAGATGGATCTCAGTGAATTCCAGGCCAACCTGGTCTACAAAGTGAGCTCCAAGTCAGCTAGGGCTGTTACACAGAGAAATCCCGTCCTTTTTGGTTTTTCGAGACAGGGTTTCTGTGTATTGTTTCTGAGGCTATCCTGAAACTCGCTCTGTAGACCAGGCTGTTCTCGAACTCACAGAGATCCGCCTGCCTCTGCCTCCCAAGTGCTAGGATTAAAGGCATGCGCCATCAACGACTGGCAGAAACCTTGTCTTGAAAAACCACTACCACCACCACCTCCAACACCACCACTAATAATAATAATAATAAAGAGCACATGCCTATACTCCCAGTACTCAGGAAACTAAGATTAGAGTTCTGAGTCAGGCTGGGCTCTAGAGCCAGATGCAATTTCAAAATAAAACAATGAGATGGCTCAAAGGTTAAGAGCACTGGCTGCTTTTCCAGAGGTCCTGACTTTATTTTTTTATTTTTTGGTTTTTCGAGACAGGGTTTCTCTGTGGCTTTGGAGGCTGTCCTGGAACTCACTTTGTAGACCAGGCTGGCCTTGAACTCACAGAGATCCGCCTGCCTCTGCCTCCCGAGTGCTGGGATTAAAGGCGTGCGCCACCACCGCCCGGCGAGGTCCTGACTTTAATTCCCAGCAACTACATGGTGGCTCACAACCATCCGTACTGAGAACTGGAGCCTTCTTCTGGCATGCATATATACATGTAGGCAGAACATTGTATACATCATAAATAAATAAATCTTTAAAAAAAGAAAATAGGGCCTAGGATGCAGCTCAGCGTATACCACCAGTCTATCTGGGCAGTGGTGGTACATACCTTTAAGCATTCAGGAGGTAGAGGCAAGTGGATCTCTGAGTTCAAGGCCAGCCTGGTCTACAGAGTGAGTTCTAGAACAGCAAGAGCTATGCAAAGAAATCCTGTCCCAAACAAAACAAAATTTCCTATCAGGTGGTGGTAGAACACATCTTTAATTCCAGCACTCAGAAGGCAGAGGCAAGCAGATCTCTATGAATTCAAGACCAGCCTGTTCTACAACGTAGATTCCAGGACAGTCAGAGCTGTTACATAGAGAAACCCTGTCTTTAAAAAAAAAAACAAGTACTTCCAAAAAGGTTCCCCATCAGTATTATTAACATGAAAAATTATTCATAATATCTATTAGAGAGTAATACCAACTCCTAGAACAATAACTATATCAGGAACCTAAATAACCAGGTGGTGGTGGGGCACATCTTTAATCCCAGCACTTGAGAGGCAGAGGCTGGTGGATCTCTGTGAGTTCAAGGCCAATCTGGTCCACAAATCAAGTTCTGGGACAGTCAGCACTGTTACACAGAGAAAGCCTATCTAAAAAAACAAAACAAAAATCACATAAATATGCATATTATAATTGCTATGTTATTTACAAACACAATAAAAATATACAGTTATATTTATATTCTGTCTCTTTTTGAGTCAGGCTCTCACTATGCAGCTGTAGATGGCTTCAGAGTCACAGAGCTCCATCTTCTCTGTCTCCTGAATATTAGGATTAAAGGTGTATGCCATCATGCCCAACCTTCTTTCTAACTTCAATAGAAATATGACAACACCAGGATGGAAGCATGGCTCAATGGCAAAGCATTTATTGCTGTGGAACAATCTTTGTACACTGTGAATATGTCTTACTCTCATTGGTTTATAAAGAGCTGACTGTCCAATAGCTGGGCAGGATGAGACTGTGAGGGAGAGCCAGACTAGGAGGACACTGGGAAGAAGAAGGATGGAGTCTGAGCAGCAAGGAGACACCATAGATGCAGAGTGAGCAAGATGGAAAGTACATACATGAGGTAAATGATCCTTGGGGCAGCACACAGATTAATAGAAATTGGTTAATTTAAGTTATAAGAGCTAGTTAAAAACCAAACCTAAGCTATCAGCCAAGCATTTATAATTAACAATAAGTCTCTGTGTAGTTATTTGGGGAGTGGTTGGCAGGAAAGAAAAGTGCACCTACATATGTTGCCCAAAGTGAAGCACTTACATCCACATATGTCCCGAGAAAGCTTTAAAAATGTTCTAAACACGCAAAAATGGGGGCAAACACAGCTTTCTATTCTCACGTCTCTCATGCCGGCCACAGTACAGAGCCAGCCACCAAGTACCATGCACTAGCACCATTCACTAAACTGAGCAGTGCTGGTGGCTGACATAGCAACTTAAGATTCATCTCACATGCTCAAAAACAATATAAATGCTCAGCAAAGACAGATCCAGGTTGAAAAAAACTCTAAACAGCTTATAGTATGTTTAAAAATATACATAGACTTGTGAGAGCAAAGACAAAGGCTATATAGTCATAGATTTTAAAAAATGGTTTAAAAATAATAAATCCTTTAAAAAGGAATAAAGTAATAAAAAACAAGGCATGTAAAGCTGGAAAACATGCTGGGCAGTGGTGGCACACACTTTTAATCCCAGCACTCAGGGGGCAGAGGCAGGCAGATCTCTGTGAGTTCAAGACCAGTTGGTCTATAGAACTAGTTCCAGGACAGCCAGAGCTGTTATACAAAGAAACCTTGTCTGGGAAAAAAAGATGGAACATACAGAGAGTCTGGATCCTGTAAGTATTGTGTTGTCTTTAATTTTTTTGACTACTAATAAAGGAGAGATAGCTCCTAAAAGACATTTGGTTATGAAAGCTGCAAGATTAAATCAACTTACATATTTAAAAAAAATACCTTGACTTCAAAATGGAAGTCAAAAGGTGTGTTGCTTTTGGGGAGAGGCTATGCTTTTATTTCCACAGAAAATGAGAGGCTGTGGATTCATTTTTTTGTTTTGTTTTGCTTTTTTTGAGACACAGTTTCTCTGTGGCTTTAGAGGCTGTCCTGGAACTCAGAGATCCACCTGCCTCTGCCTCCTGAGTGCTGGGATTAAAGGTGCCACCACCTGGCAAATCTTTTTTTTTAAAGGAAAAGAAAGAAAGTAAAAAAGAAATGTTGAAAAAGCAAGTTGTCAGACCTTAAAACTGCAGGTCCCCACTTGTACCTGGAGGGCTAACACCCTTCTCCCCAAACACTTTTCACTGTCCTAGACTGGAGCACACCAGCTCAATCTTCTAGCACTGCCTGTTCCTCTAGGAAAGCAACAGAGGAGATACACAGACCAAAAGCCTCAAGTGCAAGCCAAAGAGCTCAGCTCTTACCCCACTGGTCGGCTGCTCCTTCCCATTCACTTTGTCAGAACCTTTTGTTTTTCTGTTCTCTGATACTGCACTGCCCCAAGGTTCAATGTCATAGCTAGTCTCCAAATGTCCTCACCATTTCTTTCTCTCCCAGGAGGCCCCAGAAGCTCTACCCATAACGATGTGAAATTGTACCCTTTCCTTTAAGCAAGGCTGGCTGCAGGACTTCAAGTGTTTTGCTTCTGTGTAAATATGTGTGTCACATGCACACACCTGATGTGGCAGAGTTTAGAGGAGGGTGTTGAATCCCTTGGAACTTGAATTGTTACGTGTGGTTGTGAGCCATGATGTGGGCGCTGAGAACCACACCAGGGTCCTCTGCAAGAGCTACAGTGCTCTTAACTGGGGAACCACTTTTCCAGCCCTTTTTTAGACAGGGTCTTGCTATACTCCTCAGGTTGAGCCTGGAGGCGGTGAAAGCACACCTTTAATCCCAGCGCTGGGGAGGCAGAGGCAGAGGCAGATGGATATCTGTGAGTTCGAGGCCAGCCTGGTCTACAGAACAAGTTCCAGGACAGCCTCCAAAGCTATACAGAGAAACCCTGGCTCAAAAAACAAAACAAAACAAAACAAAATACTACCCTAGGCTGGCCTGGAACTCACTATGTAGATCAGGCTGTCACTTTTGTTTAGAAAACTGCTTCAGGCTGGCGGTAGTGGTGCAAGCCTTTTATCCCAGCACTCAGGAAGCAGAGGCAGGTAGGTAGGTCCTTGTGAGTTCCAGGTCAGGCTGGTCTACAGAGAAGGTTCCAGGACAGCCAGGACTGTTACACAGAAAAAACCTGTCTCAAAAAACAAAAAGAAAAAAGAAAGAAAGGAAACAGACTCTATTCGATAAAGAAACCTGACCTAGCTGTGTGAGGGGTAAGCTTAGTGATACAGTGCTGGTCCAGGACACACACATCCTGAGTCCAATCGCTAACATCACAAGTAGAAGAGGAGGCAATTGTCTGACCACAGGGCATCCTCAGGGCACTGTGCAGGTGAGGGAGAGTTCTGTTTTATTTTATTGTTTAAATATTTAGCTAGTAGTTAGTTTTGGTTTTTTGGGACAGGGTCTCTCTACACAGTCCTGGATGTCCTGGAACTCACAATGTAGACCAGGCTGACCTCTGACTCACCCACACCTAACTGTCTCTGCTTCCTGGGTGCTGGGATTATTGTCACAAGCCACTTTGCCCAGCCTCATTTAAATGAATAAGTAATATATGTACATATATCTCAACAAAATTGTTTTTGGCCAGGCATGGTGGCATACTCCTTTAATCCCAGGACTCAGGAATGGCTCTCAATGGTCCAAGGATATCCTAATATACACATCAAGTTCTGGGTTAGTAAGAGCTGCATAGTGATACTCTGTCTCAAAAAGAAAAAAAATAGAGAATAACAACAATGAAATGGACCAACAGAAGTGATTTCAAGTGACCACAGTGTGGTTACTAGCAGACTGGATTGACAGTAGCCAAGGAAAAGTAGGAGAATGTCATGCTTGCCAGGGCTGAAGTTCTCCATAAGACAAGGGACTGACTGTCCACAACGGCCTTAGTGAGCAGAGGAAGCACAGGCAGCCTGGTCTCTTACCTCCTCCTTGGTGTAATACTTCAGGAGGCCTTCTCTTGCCAGAAGGACAAACCTCCTTCTCAGGAACTGTGCATTGTCGCGCCCCCGCTTCCACAGGAACACTTCCCGGTCACCTTAACCCCCAAGGGCGAGAAGAAGTGAATCATGAAGTCAACATAAATCAGCTAAAGAGTGCCTCAAGGTCCTGGGTATAGGAAGAGCCTCCACATGCCACTCAGATACAGCCAATCTAACTGGGTTGTTTCAGGTGCGGGACATGGAGTCCTATCTGGGGCCAACTTTATATAATTTCAGTCTCCACCTACTGTGCAAAACCTTCCTATCTTGACTCTCCCTGAGGTCAGTCTGCTTCAGTGCAAGCCAGATGTGGCAGGGCCTGTAATCCTAGCACTTCAGCTGAGGAAAGAGAGTGGTTATGAGTTTGATGCCAGTCTTAGCTACATAGTAAGACTTTGTCATAAGAAAGAAAGGAAAACAATGTTGGAGAGATGGCTCAGCAATTAAGAGCGCTTGCTCTTTTTTTTTTTTTTTTTTTTTTTTTGGTTTTTCGAGACAGGGTTTCTCTGTGGCTTTTGGAGGCTGTCCTGGAACTCACTTGGTAGTCCAGGCTGGTCTCGAACTCACAGAGATCCGCCTGCCTCTGCCTCCCGAGTGCTGGGATTAAAGGCGTGCGCCACCAACGCCCGGCCTGAGCGCTTGCTCTTGCAGAGGACCTAGTACCCACATGACTTCTCACAACCATCCATAACTCCAGTTCTAGTGGACCAAACAATCTCTTCTGACCTCTGAGGGAAACAATTGTAAATATAACGATGAAGTTAACTTTTTTTTTTTGAGACAGGGTTTCTCTGTATAACAGTACTGGCTGTTCTGGAACTCACTTTTTTTTTGTAGACCAGGCTGGTCTCAAATTCACAGAGATCCACCTGCCTCTGCCTCCTGAGTGCTGGGATTAAGGGCGTGAGCCACCACCACCTGGCTAAATTAATTCTTTGTAATTTCGAGCCAGCAGTGGTGGCACTCAGGAGGCAGAGGCAGACAGATCTCTGAGTTAGAGGCCAGACTGGTCTACGGAGTGAATTCCAGGATAGACAGGCTATACAGAGAAACCCTGTCTCGAAAAATGAAAACAAAACAAAGAATTTTTTTAATTTGATATAAAAGGAAAAACAAAGAAGAGAGAAGGGTTTGGAAGGAGAGAAAAGAAAAATTCTTTTAAGAAGGCCAAGTGTCTTTCCATATAAAGTTGATTATTGTTTTCTCAAGGTCTGTGAAGAATTGTGCCAGAATTTTGATAGGGATTGCATTGAATCTGTAGACTGCTTTTGGCAAGATTGCCATTTTTTTTTGGTTCTTTCAAGACAGGGTTTCTCTGTATTGTTTTGGAGGCTGTCCTGGGACTCGCTTTGTAGACCAGGCTGGCCTCAAATTCACAGAGATCCGCCTGCCTCTGCCTCCCGAGTGCTGGGATTAAAGGTGTGTGCCACCAACGCCCGGCGCCTTGCACAAAACTTAAGTCAAAATGGATTAAAGACCTTAACATAAATCCAACCACACTGAAACTCTTAAAAGAGAAAGTGGGAGATACTCTTTAACAAATTGGTACAGGAGACTGCTTCCTGAACATAACACCAGTAGCACAGACACTGAGATCAACAATTAACAAATGGGACCTCCTGAAACTAAGAAGCTTCTGTAAGGCAAAGGACACAGCCAACAAGACAAAAAGGCAGTCCACAGAATGGGAAAAGATATTCACTTATCCCACATCTGACAGAGGGCTGATCTCCAAAATTTACAAAGAACTCAAGAAGCAAGTCTACAAAACACCAAAGGATCCAATTAAAAAGTGGGGTGCAGAACTAAACAAAGAATTCTCAATAGGAGAGTCTAAAATGACTGAGAGACACTTGAGAAAGTGCTCAACATCCTTAGCCATCAGGGAAATGCAAATCAAAACAACTCTGAGATACCATGTTACTCCTGTCAGAATGGCTAAAATCAAAAACACCGAAGACAATTTATGCTGGAGAGGATGTGGAGAGAGGGGAACACTCCTCCACTGCTGGTGGGAGTGTCAACTTGTACAGCCACTTTGGAAATCAGTATAAAGATTCCTCAGAAAAATGGGAATAAACCTACCACAAGACCCAGAAACTCCACTCTTAGGCATATATCCAAAAGATGCCCATTCATACAACAAGGGCATCTGCTCCACTATGTTCATAGCAGCATTATTTGTAATAGCCAGAACCTGGAAGCAACCTAGATGCCCCTCAACTGAAGAGTGGATAGAAAAAATGTGGTACATTTACACAATGAAGTACTACTCAGCAGAAAAAAAACAATGGAATCTTGAAATTCGCAGGTAAATGGATGGCACTAGAAGAAACCATCCTGAGTGAGGTAACCCAGTCACAAAAAGACAAACATGGTATTTACTCACTCATTTATGGATTTTAGACATGGATCAGGATAGTGCCAGTCTGCACTTCCACTAACAGAGAGTCTGGGAAACAGGAAAGAACCTAAGAGAGATATGCATGGTACCCCAGAGAAGAGGAATGAGGCAAGATCTCCTGAACAGATTAGGAGCACGGCGATAGGTGGGGGGGGGGGAGTAGGAACCGGGAAGAAGAGATGGGGAGAAGAGGAAGAGAGAATAAGTCATGGGGAACAGGAAGGTTGAGTGGGGGGAAGAATAGGGGAGAACAGGATGAGAAATACCAGAATAGAGGGAGTCATAGGTTAAGAGAGATCTGGCACCAGTGAGACCTCTAGTGATCTAAAGGAATGGCACCAACTGGCAACTAAGCAATAGTGGAGAAACCACCTTAAATGCCCATTCCTGATAATGAACTTGATGTCTACCCTATATGCCATCCTAGAACCTTCATCTAGTGACTGATGGAAGCAGAGGCAAACACCCACAGTTAAACACTGAACTGAATCCATGGAACCCAGTGACAGAGAGAGAGGAGCGATGAGCAAATTGGCAAAGAATGGGCTGGCAAAACCAGCAGAGACAGCTGATCTGAACAAAGAGAGAGCTCTTGGACCCCAGACCGACAGCTGGGAAGCCAACATGGGACTGATCCAGATCCCCTGAGTGTGAGAGTCAGTGAGGAGGCCTGGGCAGTGGATCGGTATTTATCCCTGGCATACAGACTTCGTGTGCCCATAACACAAAGAGGGATGCTCTCTCAGCCTGGACTCTTAGGGGAGTGCCTGGACCCTGCCCTGAGTGAAATGACAGGCTCTGGATATCGCCTATGTGGAAGGAAGTGGGGATAGGGTGGGAGGCTGAGGAGGATGGTGGGGGTGATGAAGGAGGAGGGGAGGGAGAGGGAACTGGGATTGACATGTGAAGCAAGCTATTTAAAATTAAAGTAATAAAAAATAAAGAAAAAAAGAAGACCAAGTGTCAAGAAACTGGACTGGTTTGAAAAAGGTCCTGGGATGTGGTTCAGCTGGCAGAGTCTCTCATAGCCTGCAAGACACTTTGGCTTTAACACACAGTGCTGCATAAGGTCAGTTGTGGGGCACATGTCTGTATCCTAACATTCAGAAGGTAGAGGCATGAGAATCAGGAGTTCAAGGTTGTCCTTGCCTATACAGTGGATTGAAGGCCAGCCTGAAATAGATGAGATCTTGCCTCAAAAGAATGAAGTGTGTGTGTGTGTGTGTGTGTGTGTGTGTGTGTGTGTGTGTGTGGTGGTTGTGATGGTGGTGGTGGTACACACCTTTGATGCCAGCACTCCAGAGGCAAAGACAGATGGATCTCTGAGTTTAGGATCAGCCTGGGACACATTAAGAATTTTAAGCAAGTCAGGAATATAGAGTGAGACCCTGTCTAAAAATTTTTATATTATGCTGGGAGGTGGTGGCCCACACCTTTAATCCCAGTACTCTGGAGGCAGATCTCTGAGAATCGGAGGCCAGTTTGGTCCTCAAAGAAAGTTCCAAGACAGTCTCCAAAACCTACTAAGAAACTCTGTCTCAAAAAACCAAAAAAATTTATATTATATAGATTATGTATATAATTTATATAAATTATGTATCTCAGAACTCAGGGGCAGAGGTAGGAAGATCTCTAAGTTTGAGGCCAGCCTGGTCTACATAGATCCAGGTCAGCTAGAGCTACACAGAGAAACCCTGCCTTGTAGAAAAAGAAAAGAAGAGTAGAAGAGTGACCTCAAAGCTGGGCGTTGGTGGCGCACGCCTTTAATGCCAGCACTCGGGAGGCAGAGGCAGGCGGATCTCTGTGAGTTCGAGACCAGCCTGGACTACCAAGCGAGTTGCAGGACAGCCTCCAAAGCCACAGAGAAACCCTGTCTCGAAAAACAAAAAAAAAAAAAAAAAAGAGTGACCTCAAGACACTAGTGTGAAGAATAATTTACATTCCGCAAATCCTGAAAGCTTTGTCCTTTCAAGCCTTGTCCTGTGGGCAGTGCCAACTTGAGCATGAATGAAAAGTGCTCTGGGTCGAGGGCCATCAGTGAGGTTTGCCCTGCATGAGTGTGGAATCGGAGACTGGAATCTAGCTCAAGCTCCTCCCAAAGACTGCCCCCCACCTTTCATTTTTCTAGAGATCATTAGAACATAGACCTCAACACATCACGATGGTTACTTTAGGCTGCAGAGATGACTCAGTGACTGAGTGCACTGGCTACCCTTCCAGATGACCCAAGTTCAAATCCCAACACCTACATGACTCAAAACTGTCACAACTCTAGTTGCAGGGGATCCAATACCCTGTCCTGGCCTCTGGATGTATTGCATACATGTGGTACACATACATACAAGCAGACATCATAGTAACTTTACCTGGGGGTGAGACAGCTTTCTCATTAGCCATAAATTCCTGTCTTTCATATTTAGCTCGAATCCATTGTTCCTTTAAGACCCTAAATAGAGAGAACTTTTGGTCAGTTGTGTCTGCTGCAGTGACTTGCCAAGACCCTACAGGGGAGGTTGGGGACAGCCTAGTGGCTGCCACCTCAAGCTACCCAGAGGTTCTCAACCTTAGGATAGTTAGCATCGGTGCTAGGTGATTCTCTGTGGTGGGGGTGGGGGCTGTCCTGTGCTTTATGGAAAGTGTGGCAGCACCTCTGGCTTCTACTCCTAGATTCCGGGAGCTTCTACTTTCCAGGAGACACACCAGGGAAGTTTGTCTTCTAGTGGGTTGAGAAGTACTGCACTGTCCCTCAGTAATCTATGTCAATGATGAAGATATGAGCTCCCCTGATGGGCGTTGGTGGCACACGCCTTTAATCTCAGCACTCAGGAGGCAGAGGCAGGTGGAAATCTGTGAGTTCGAGGCCAGCCTGTTCTACAGAGTGCCAGGATAGGCTCCAAAGCTACACAGAGAAACCCTGTCTGGAAAAACAAAACAAACAAAGAAACAAAATATATGAGCTCCCTAGACAATTACCCATCCCCCAATATCCTCCCCCCCCAAATTCTCTGCTTGTGAACTTGAGCCAAAAATATCCTGGACCTGCTGATGGGCCCTGAGCCACCACACTGCACAGAACAGACTGATGAGTGTGTCCCAGGCTGACCTACGTGGCCAAAATAACTGAGAATGACTTTGAACTCATGATCCTCCTGCTTCCACCTCCCAAGTGCTGGGATTACAGGTTTGTGCCACCATACCAGCTTTATGAAGCTCCGGGGGATCAAACCCAGGGCTTTAAGGATGTTAGGTAGGCACTCTACCAACTGTGATGCCTCCCCAGACCAAATTACTAAAGAGATCTAAATTTGGGAAATGGGGCAGCAATATACCTGCCTTCCTTCATGCTGTTGAGGAGGGTAGTTGTTGATTAAAGGACTCAGCACCATACTCAACACACAGTAGGACTTTTTGTGTTATTGACAGGGTCTTACTATGTAGGCTGGTCATGAACTCACTGAGATATGCCTGCTTCTGTTTCCAGACAGTTAGATAAAGGTGTGCTTCACAACAACGTTCTCACAGTAGGTCCTTTTTTTGTTTGTTTGTTTGCTTGCTTTTGGAGACAGAGTTTCTCTGTGTAACCCTGGCTGTCCTGGAACTCACTTTGTAGACCAGGATGCCCTCAAACTCACAGAGATCTGTCTCTGCATCCTGAGTGATGGGACTAAAAACATGCACCACTACTGTTCAGCTCATAGTAGGTCCTTAATACTAACATTAACCAAATGTTATTCTTGGTGCAGCTGAAAACAAGCTTATTTTCATTTTTTTGTTTCTTCTTATCTTTTCTAGGTACATATTTCAAAGGTTAGCTGATAAAATGCCCTGGGAACAGGAATGACCTGGAGCTGTGAATCTGACCTAAGCAGGTCACTTGGAGCTCTGGGTTGCCCTGGGCTGTTAGGGGTCAAAGGAACCAAAAGTTAAGAGACTAGCTGGAAGTCCTCTCTGGGTCATCCTGGGACATGTAGCATGAACCTGCAAGTAGATTTGCTGTCAGCTGCAGGTAGAAATCTGGCTGAGAGAAAGATGGAGGGACAAGTGCCAGGAGAGTATATGAAGACTGTGGAAGAAACACACCAGATGCTCAAGAGATCCGCCTACCTCTGCCTCCCAAGTGCTTGGATTAAAGGGATGCACCACCACCACCTAGCTTTGGCCATGGCCACCTTCTTATAGCTGAGTAGCAGTAGAGTTGAGGGGGATGGACCTGAGGCCTTCTGCACATAGAAATATGCTTCCCTGTCTCTCCACATGGCATCAGTAGCCCTTGGGTCATTTAACTGCAAAACTACAGAACCACCAATCACAGTTATGCATCGGTGCAAGGCCTGAAAGCACCATGTTGAGACTGGTGGTTCAAATGCAACTGTCCAGCCAAGCTTGCATGAGACTGTGTTTACCTAGATGTCCTCTTCCTGAGTACACAGGACACTGTCTGACGGCCCTGAATGAGGCCAAGTCCCTGAGAAGGAGGCCCAGGTTCAGAGAGTCAGCCTTTCAGAGGCTTGGGGTCACTAGTGTCTAGGGTCCCCCTCATCCCTCACCTTTATAACCCTCCTGCTATACTGTGTTTTCCTAATGTCCCTTGGTGTCAGGTGATCCATACCCAGCTCTATGTTCCTTCACACCCACCCTGTTCTATCTCTCAAACAGAGGGTAACAGTCATATTTGCAGGGTTCAGAGAATGTTTGACAATAACATACACAGCCTTTAGCAAAGAGCTTGGCATATGGGTAAAGCTCCATAAATATTAATGGCTTTTGTTTTGTTTGAGGCATAGTCTCAAGTAGCCCAAGCTGACCTCTGACTCACTATGTAGCTGAGACTGACCTTGAATTCCTGATCATACTCTTTTTATTCACCTCCTATGCACCAGAATTACAGGCGTTTGCCAACACACCTGGTTTAAACCAGGATTCCTGTGTGCTACCTGTGATGATACCAAATTCATCCCTGAAAGAACCTTTTAACCAGGTCACAGGAGAAATCACCTCAGACAACGGTACCAGGAAGAGAGGAGGACTGGGAAGATCCCTCCCCAGATTCTAGGGAATCACTCACTTACAGGCAGTCGCTGGCTTGAGGCACATAGTAAAAAGCTGGGACTCTGGCTTCAAATTTGGCTTTCCCATTGAGATTTCCATTGTGGGTCATGAACTGTAAAACAAGAGCAAGTTGGAGTAATTGTAGAACTTGAGAAAAAAATATGTGAAATGAAACCATGGTCCGCCACCCAGAAGACTGCTTGCTAGGCACAGACAGGTGGATCTCTGTGGGTTTGAGGTCAGCCTGTTCTGCACAGTGAGTTCCAGGAAGTCTAGGACTATGCAGAGAGACCCTATTTCAAAAAATAAAAAGCCTGTGACTTTCACTGGCTCTGAGGCAGGGCCAGGAGAACCTGCCTGTAAGGTGGCATCTCCCCAGGCATGTAAAACCCTAGTTTGTCGTAACATGGAGGACTGATAACTGTGCCTCATATAGGAACAGCTCTTTACAGTTCACACGCAATAGTTTATTGGGTCCTCTCAACTGTTTTGACACTGCTATTCTGTTTTTAAAGAGGACACAGGGCTCAGAGAGGTTTGCTGGCTTGCTCAAGGCAACACAGCTAGTTAATTAATACAAAGGGATGATGTCAACCTGTTTCTGCTGGACCACAAAGCTCATGTCCTTCCTCTTACTCCTTCCACAGACAGCCAAGCCCTCTCACAGTCCTTAAAGTTTACAGAAGACTGGGCTAGCTGGAGAATGGAAGTGGCTGCCAGCCCCATAGCATAACCAATGTCACCTGAGGCTCAGAGTGGCGTTCTGTCCAGGTATATGCTGATGTGCCAGTGGGCAGTGATTTAGTGGGGTAAAGCAGGAACAGCAGGTTTGTAAATCCCTGTCTCTGGACTCAGTGACCACTGTCATCCTCCCTGGAGTCTCTGGAGCTGTGGCATAGACAAGAATTGCCTGTGGACCCCAGCAGAGAATGAGTGATTGGGGGAGCCCAGCTGTCCCAGTGAAGACATAACAGGGAGTCAGAAGGCAAAAACCTGTGGGTGTATGGACTGATTGGTCGAATCCCTGTGTTTCCCTTGCACGGAAAGTAAGCCTTGACTAGATAACCACTCTGTGTCCCCATCAAGGACATTACTGTTACATCTGTGTGTACAGAATGGTAGAGTCCAGTCCAGATAGTCTTGCTGTAGAATGGGAATGCTCAACAATGTTACCTGATTCTCCGGTGGCCCACAAACTTCTCAGTTCACCAGTGTGCTGTGGACCTGTCTGCTCTCTTCAGGTTTTCTGGCCAAAATGGCTTCGCCCAGGCTGAGGGCTCCATACTAACTGGGCAGGAAAGCAGAGTGGGCTAGGGAAGGACCTTGGCCTACAAATTGTGATGTTTCTCTTCCTCTGTTCCTGGCTCCCATGAAGGATGACAGTAACTGTTAATTTGCTTTGTGTCTGTGTTTTATACTTTTTTTCCTGTTTTTTTTTTTTTAGACAGAAACTCTGTGTAGCCTTGGCTGTCCTGCTCTTTGCTCTGTAGACGGGGCTGGCCTCGAACTCACAGAGATCCACCTGCCTGTACCTCCCAAGTGCTGGGCTCAAAGACGTGTGCCACCATCACCCGGCTATGTTTTATTCTTACAGCAGCCAGTGAGAGGATGGTGCATGTCCATAACATGGGTGTGGAAATAGAATCCATAGCTAAGATTAAGTAAGAGCTAGAGAGATGGCTCAGTAGTTAAGAACACTTATTGTTCTTTCAGAAGACCTGGGTTCAATTCCCAGCACCACTATGGCAGCCCGAAACTGCTTGTAACTCCAATTCCAGGGGAGCTGATACCTTCTTCTGACCTCTGTGGGCTCCTGCACATATGTGGTGCACGTACATACACTCAGGTACACACATGTCTTTAAACACACACGGGCACACGTGCGCACCCCTTGTAAGGGGAGCAAATGATTAGCTAGGATTTGAACTCAGGGTCTTTCTCTAAGCCACCACCTAATAGTCTGTTGTTTCCTCTCGTTGGTCATTGCACCTCTTAAGGCTTCATTTCCTCCTCTGTGGAATAGGAGGAACACCTGTGTCCCGCCTCCTCTCCCCACGCCCAATTCCAAGAATCTGCATACGCGCGACATTCTACCTCCACCATACTGTCGTCCCAGAAGTCCAGTCTCACGGATTTAACTTTGCTGACGTCTGGGAAGTTGCGATGGACGCCAGAGCAGTGGAGACAGATGAAAATCCCCAGCTTGTAAGAGGCCCAATCAGGATCTGCGGGGTGGAAGGGCAGGATCTCCGCTGAGCCGGACCAGGACTGGGGCTGGACAGTTAGGATTCTGAGTCGGAGGCCAGCTCCGCCCACGCCGGTTATCATTTCTTTCTTGGTCCCCAACCTTGGACAACTGAGGTAACTCATAGACCGTGCTTAGCCCACCCTTTGGCGCAGCGACACCCAGGAGACCTCGGAAGGAGGAACCGAGAAGAGGGAGCAAGTGAGAGATCAGCTCAGAGCCTCAGGGACGGGAGCCGCATCAGCACCCTCAGGGTCAACATGCCTCAGTGAGAGTCGCGGGGGCCTAGGAGGCATCGGAGGTGAGGACCTCAGGGTCCGAGGGTGCGGGAAGGGCCCAGGGTCGGAGATGATGTCCAGGGTAGTAGGATGCCCAGTGGGAAAGTGAGAGGGAACAGGGCGTGGACGGCATTTGGTGCAGAGCGAGGACTGAGGTCCCGGCCTTCGAGAGCAGGGAGGCAGAGGACCGTCGGGGCCGCCGGAGACGCTCCGTGGATAAGGACTGGGGTTCCCAGGCGAGGAACGAGGCTGGGTCGCGCGTGGATGGACTCCTAGGGAAGGGACCGACGAGCCAGGGACCAGGGCCGTGCCTGGCTGCACCTGCCCCGCACGCCTTGCCCTTACCCGCAGCCCCGCAGTCGGCGCAGTGAGCGTTGCCGGTGCCCGCAGCTTGCAGCAGCTCCAGTAGCCGCTTCTTGTTGCGCTCGCGGTCGCCCATGGCCGTACCGGAGGTCTCAGTGGTTCTCAGCCCCGCCGCCTCTGTGCTTCCCGCTCCTGGACGCCCATGGTCCTGCGTTTGCCCGGCCGTGGGAGAGGGACTTAGCTCTCCCAAGACTTCAGTCCAGTGCGGTCGCCGGCTCCGCCCACGGGACAGCATGCCCCTCCTCCAGATCCTCGACCACACCCCTGGACAATATACCCCGCCCCCAAGGCCGTCCGTCCAGTTTCACTACCTAAGTGTGTGTGGGGGGGGCAGGAATGTACCAGATGTAATCCTAAGTGGTTACTTGATAACTGGTTTATTCACTCTCTAGGTCTCAGTTTCCACCTCTGAAAAAGAGAGGCTGGAGAGATGGCTCAGCAAGAGTTCTGGCTCATCTTCCAGAGGTCCCAGGTTCAATCCCCAACACCCACATGGCAGCTCACAACCACCTGTAACTCTAGGGGATCAGACACCTTCACACAAACAGACATCTAGACAAAACACGAGCGCGTATGAAATAAAATAAGTAATTAATTAATTAAAAAAGAAGAGCAGTGTAGCTGTTTCCTCAGCATTGAAACATTCTGCTCTGTGAGGATGAGGGTTGCTCATAAGACTCAGGGAGTTCAAAAAGTAGAAAACTCTCGAAGTTGGGAAGAGAAGCCCCTTTGCTGGGGCTGCCTACAAGTTGAACAGGGAAATCCAACTAAACAGCTTTTGTGAATGGGAATTAATGCTGGGTGGGCTTTTTGGCAATGCTGCTTCTTTTGAGTCATCCATGCCCCTGTAAGTAGCCTTAAAACTCATTGGTTTGTCAAGCTAGACTTGGGTACAATTTCACTGGCCTATCATTGGTGCCCTACATAGGATGAAGAGACATTTGTTCATGTCTCTCCAGGAGAAGAGAGACATGTGTCTGCACTTCAGGGCTCCTTGGAAACACTGAACATGTTCTAACTCGTGTTAAAGAGTTCTGCGGGTCTTACATCTGTTTAGAGACAGCTAGGTGCAAATACCCCTACTCAGGACACCCTCCATGATCCCCAGTCTCCAGTACACTGTCGGTCCTGTTACAATTCCTTAATAGGGTAATCTATCTTCTGTAGCCCTGACCACATCTGTGATCCATGCTACATTATAGTAGCTTAGATACCTGTGTTAATTTTTATCCCTATGGCCTCAATAGAGTTCAGTGTCAATATTCTATTTTAGGAAGCAAGATTTTCTGTTCTGGGAAAGAGCCTCTCTCCATTTTGAGAAATAGAAAAGGTTTCATGACTGGATTCACCAGGGAGTAGACCAACCTGGAGACAGCTGGAACCTGTGCAGTTACATCATTGTGGGGTGGGCAGGACTTGGGGGGGTTGAACCTATTTTCCTACATCCCTTTCTTTGACACCATCCCAGTGACTCACTGAACTCCTGTCATTCATCCCTGACACACATAAAGCTCAATGCCGGAGATGTTGGATTTCTATTCAACACACACGCACACGCATGCAGTAGTATGATATAGTGGGATGAATCTAGGATTCCACAAATTCAAGATATGAATGTTGGCTCTGACTCCATCTTTTCCTGTTTGTGAAGGAAGTCTGTTCCATCCTTTTCCTGACCTCGGTCTGTGAGACGAGGATTTTGAGGAATGCTGAGATAGCACACAAAGCTTGATCAGCTGATGGGACTCATCTGGAAGGCTAGGCTTCATTTCTCAACATTCCCACAGTGGAGGAGGTCAAGCCACCAGACCTGGAGAAGAAGCACATTCCAGAAACAGCCAATCCGTAGAGGTTTTGACTATACTGTGGGGTTGGGGGTAGCTATCCTGGGAACATCCATAAAGGAACCAGTAAATGGGACAGCTGGGGTCAGGAGACATGAAACTATTTATTAAACGAACTCAGAGATGATTCATTTCCGCTTCATTGGATAAAAAGAGATAGAAATAAGTCTCCCAGGAGAAGGATGGGAAAAGCAACAATGTAAGGCATGAACAGAGGGGAGAGGGGTAGGGGAAAAGAGGGCACAGGCCCAGGACATCTGCCCTCTGCTCATCCTCATGGCAAAGTTGGACCGTTTGGAGCCACAGCCTTAATTTCCTGTAGCATCTGGACTCTTTTTTTTTTCTAAGACAGGGTTTCTCTGTGTGTCTTTGGCTGTTCTGGAAATCACTCTGTAGACCAGGCGGTCCTTGAACTCAGAGATCCACCTGCCTCTGCCTCCCAAGTGCTGGGATTAAAGGCGTGCCTGTGCCACCACTGCCCTGCACCTCTGAACTCAAGAATTGCAGCAGCAGCAGGGAGTTGGTGACGCACGCCTTTAATCTCTGTGAGTTCGAGGCCAGCCTGGTCTACCGAGAGTTCCAGGACAGGCTCCAAAACAATACAGAGAAACCCTGCCTCAAAAAACAAAAACAAACAAACAAAAAAAACCAAACCAAAACAAACAAAAAGAATCCAGCAGCAGTCAGTTCAGAGAACAATCAGAGACTGACAAGGTCCCCTTGGATTTCTTCTGTCCTCATTTTTGGAGGTTTTAGTTTAAAAGATAGCAAAGACTGAGGTGGACCCTCAACCATCCGAAGAAGGAAAAATGTTGGTAGCCTGCTGCTTTGTGCCAGGGTTCTACCTCCCAGCCTCTGTGTTGGGGGTAGAAGGGAACAGCACTGGCTGGGGCTCAGCAGACCAAACTCCAGACATTGATGCCTTTGAGCTTCAGGATGTCCTCAGTGCACAGCAGGCATGTCGTTCCATAGAAGAGACTAAAAGCCAAGCCCCAGGGGAGCTGTTACCTAAGGTCTTGTGGTCAAATAGTGTGTGCAACAGGGACCTACAGCCAGATTTCCTGTCACAGTATCATTTAGTCTTTACTTCATGAAACCACTCTTCCTTCTCATCCTGCATTTTTGTTTATCTTTCTGTGCTGGGGGTTAAACCTATGACTGTGTGCATACTAGGCAAGCACTCTATCTCTGAGTTAAATTCCACTCTACCCTTTCACGTGTATACCCATAACATACACAAAGTGATGATCTGGTACTCTGTGTAATGATAATCATATTCAACACATCCAGGCCAGAGAGATTGCTCAGTGGTTAGAGCACTGGCTGCTGTTCCAGAGGACCTAGGTTCAATTCCCAGCACTCACATGTTGGCTCACAACTGTCAGTAACTCCATTTCCATGGAATCTGATGCCTTCTGACCTCTGAGGACACCTGCAATCATGTGCACATAAACACAAACATGCTTATATATATTTTAAAAAAATTAACCTTAATTAAAACCACCCCCCACACAGGATCATCATCACTACAACAAAAACCCACATCCACCACCTGCCTGCTGTGTTCATCTTATAACTCAAAGTTTTTACTCTGTATTTTCCTGATTATTTTTAAAACATATTCACCACACCCAACAGAAACTGTAACATACTCCTGGATTTGACACGATATAAGCTTTACTCTGTTTTTTTTTGTTTAGAAATCACAAGTTAAGGGGATGTGGTAGCGTTCCTCTCATGACAGCTCGACTGAAGCAGGAAGATTGAGAATTTGAGGCATGCTGATTTACACAGTGAGTTCCCAATACACATGAGCAAAATCTTTTCTAGAAATAAAAAGTAAATCTGGGTGGTGGTGGTCCACACTTTTAATACCAGCACACTGGAGGCAGAGGCAGGCAGATCTCTGTGAATTCCAAGCCAGCCTTCTCTACATACTGAGTTCCAGGACAGTCACGGGTACACAGAAATCCTGTCTCAAAAAAAAAAAACCCAAAAACAAATAAACAAAAGGTAAACAGAGGGGCTCAGTGGTCTAGGTACCTGCGGCTCTTGCAGAGGACCCAGTCAGGGTTCACAGTACCATGTCAGGCAGCTCACGGCAACTTGTAGCTCCTGCTGCAGAGAACTGGACACTCTTTTTTGTTGTTGTTTTGTTTTGTTTTATTTTTTTTTCCAGGACAGGGTTTCTCTGTAGCTTTGGAGGCTGTCCAGGAACTCGATGTGTAGAACAGGCTGGCCTCCAACTCACAGAGATCTGCCTGGGATGGACAATCTTTTCTTCATCACACATACATTTCACTTACACTTATGTAAATAAAAGCAAACCAAATAATTTTAAAAGATTTATATTATTATTTATTATATGTATAAAAATAAATAATTTAAAATATTTTTTATTTTTTAACTTATGTGAATGTGTTTGTGGGAATAGAGTCCAAAGGCATTGGATCCCCTGGAGGTAGAGTTAAAGGTAGTAATGAACCACCATGCTTGGGTCCTCTATAAGAGCCAAAAGCACTCTGCTGAACTATATCTCCAGTCCTAAAATTAATCTGTTTTTTTTTCCTTCAAGAATTAACAAATTTAGCTGGGTGTTGGTGGCACACACATTTAATCCCAGAACTTGGAAGGCAGAGGCAGGTGGATCTCTGTGAGTTCAAGACCAGCCTGGTCTACAGAGTGAGTTCCAGGACAGCCTCCAAAGCCACAGAGAAATCGAAAAAACAAACAAACAAAAAAGAATTAACAAATATATGCCACAGCATCTACAGGCCAGTCTCCCCTTCCTACAGAATTATCACGTCTAAGGCCATGTGCACTTGGGATTATGGGAAATGTTGAGTTTTAGAGGACCCCATCCCTAGTGCCACTGCCACAGTCCTCATCCCATCAATATTGGAAGAACAGTCAAACCCAAGCTAACCCAAATGTGGTTCATACTTTAGGATGTGGGCTACCAGGATGAGAAGTCTGGAGCTGCCCAAAGCCTGTATGGGTTCAGTAGGTCCCTGGTGAGGTAATAGAGGCCACACCTGAATCCATGGCTTTAAGTCATATCGGAACCTGTTCTGAATAGACACATGGCCAAGAGGTGAGCCTTTATTTTCCTGGATTCAGGATCTGGAACATGACAAAGGATGAACAGCTCCTTGTATTTCCCTCACCCTTCTGAATGCCCCCCCAGAAAACCCAGTTTCCACCCCCCTCATCTCACCCCCAACCCCTGCCAATCCCAAAGTTGTAATTTGCTAAAATGCTGACTATGCATCCCTTTGGTGAGTCCTTGAGGCCTCTGCCATTGGGGTCTGACCCTGATGTCACAGACATAGTGGAACAGCTGGGCTGTGCCTGTGGATCAAAAAGACCCAGGACAGAAATCTTTAAGAAAAAAGTAAAAGAAAATTGGCTTTCTAACTTAGTGGAAAGGCATTTGCCTAGCACACATGGGACCCTAAGTTCCATACCCAATACTGACAAAAAGGAAAGGAAGGGGTGTGGTGGTGAGAACTTCACCACTGCAAAGGACTTGGATTTGGTTCCCAGCACCCACACAG